TTATACAATATACTATTAGTTAAGTCGAGCAAAGGATGCCAGTGCATTCATGGCCAGGTTTATCTTCTGTTTAGGAAGCTTCCTGTTCTTTAAAAGAAGGGAGTAGGGGAAGGACAAATGAATATAAAAAGGGGAAGGTGGAAATTAACGACCACTCAGCAAAAATCAAGGCCAGCAGATAAAACCCTGGTGCTGCTGTTCAGTTCCAGATCCATGCAGGAACAGCTGAAAGTCATAAAACAGATGTAATTTAAAACTACAGGGTATATCATCCATAAGTATGCATCTCAGTAGTTGGTATAATGCCTTTTCAAATTACTCTCCGTATTGTTTCTGTCTAGGGTGTCTGTACCAGTTGTTTGTCATTGGCTCCCTGTCCAGAGGATTCAAAGCCCATCGTAAGTGACGTTTCCCAACAGAGTCCTCAGTGGTACAAAATGCATAGAGGGAAGGGGTCCCCGTATGTTGATTACTGCTTTCCCAATATATTGAGCACAAGAACCGAATATGAATGCTTGAGACTGCATAAAATATAGACATAGACAGTACATTAGTGTCTTCTTGGCAAGGATTGAATCACCAGGTAATTTCAGCATTGTTTTGTTTGCTGTTGCAAGATCCCTCATAGACACCATAGAAGCTCTAGCTCTTTTCTCAGGTCAAGTTAATGTCTATTTTGGATAGGCTTTGGCAGAAGAGAGAGGCAAGGAACAAGAACTACTGAAGTTATGCTTTAACTGGTAAACAAAAAATAGAGGGATATGTTTAGAATAGACCTCACATCTGTCAAAAATCTCCTTTAGATTCAGCTTCCTCCCAGAAGTAACTGTCTGCAGAAGCAGCTTTCAGAGAGGACTGAAAACCTTCTATCTGCTTTGCATCTAAGAGATGCAAATGTGGCTGCATGTTTCTCCACATACAGAATTCAAGTCTAGCTATCACAGGAATTTGATTCTCAATGTTATAAAAATTCACTGGTAGTTAGTCCCATATGCCATTATTCAATAACAGCGAAAAGAAAGTTCACATTAGGAAAAAATACATAATTTAATACATTTTTTAAATGCAACATTATAGCAAACTGCTTTCTGTTCTCCATTTAGATTATGTTGTGATATTAAGACTGCATCATGGAACACTACATTACTTAGAAATACTAATGCTTCCATTTTGTGCATGTTCCAGCCTTTCTCAAAACGGAGATGCATTATCAAAGGCCCAAGCTTTCAAAAAACCGGCTGTGCTAAAGCCTGCAATACAACAGTAAAGGTATAGAATTACAGTTCTTTAATGTGAAACATATACAGATGTTTTCCAAAATACTGTCCTTTGCATTGTGAACTTTCCTTTGGGAGTTGAGAGATGTTTGGAGATGTTCATGTAGTTCCCATAACCTTCTACAGGGTTCTGAGAGGAGCTACTGTAAAACTTAAGAGCGAGATAGCAGGCAGATTCCAGTGAGGTTTTTTAGCTGACATATATCATTGGCAACAATATTTTCATACTCCGGCACACAGGACCTTTCACATAAGGCTCCAAGCCCACATGTTTTTGTTACCCCCTCCAATACAGCTTCATCCATGAAGAACAGTATAGCTTGGTCCTACCTGGTTCCAGCCCGTTCTGTCCCAAGACTTCACACAATATTGGGTAACAATGAATGGGAAATGCTCCTTAGAACTGTGCTCCACTTGCTTTCCTTGGCAAGCCTAGTCCTCATAGAGGTCATTGGCCTCTGAGAAGTTCTTGTACCTTCCTGGGTTCTGGGGCTCCTAAATAGGCTTCTGCATTTCATGACCACAATTATGTAACAAGCAGAGAAGTCTACAAATGTTTAAACTTTGAGAACCTTTTGCTAATTCCTATTTCCTTTGAATCACACATGTCAAAGAGTTGTTTTTTTTTTCTTAATATGCTTTTCTGTGCTCTTGATAAATAAATGGATCAAGAAGCCAATTCATGAATAAACAAAAGATGCAGCCGAGAAGGAAATTTAATGCTGTGTAGTGGGTTAAATCCCACACTGGTGCAGAGGAGAAGGAGGAAGATCAAAGCAGCATGTCTACCTTTCATAGCTTCTCCCCAAGGTAAAACATGTCTTTGAGTTCCTGATCTCAAATGCAAAGGAGACTGCCTGCCTCTGAATTGTTCTGCACTCCCACTGGCAAATCAAGAGTGCACACAGTATGAGCAGACACACACAGGCACATTCATTACTGATGACAGCATGGGGATTCCTAACACTGATGAGTCTTATAAGAAGAAGAAAGGAAGGATCTAGCAATCTGTGCATCCCCAGCTGGCAATGCTGCTCCTGGTTTTAACAAGGCTATTGCATAGGTGGGTCTGGTTCAACACAAGCATTTTAAGTGCCAGCTACACCTACAGGCCTTTGCTAGAGGGCCACAACATAATGGAGAGTTCTCTTTTGTGCACTGAAGCACTGGAAAAGAGAATATTTGCTTTATTTCACAGGAACCAAAGTGTTGCAAAGGCTTCTTTGGCCCTTACTGCAGTCCCTGCCCAGGAGGTTTCTCCAAACCCTGCTCAGGAAACGGGCAGGTAAGGACAGCATTCGGCGGCACACTGCACTCCTATGGGTGGAAGGACAGGCTGTGTCCCAAAAGTCCCTGAGGCACTTCTGCACAATAGGAATATTGGGCTCCACAAGAGCTGTGCCCTCCATTTATGTCCAGGGTTGGACATGAATTTCAGGTTCTGTTATACAGAGGAGGGAAAATTAATTGATCTCCTCTCAGATGTCCAGATTGCAGGTTTCTCTGATCCCAGCACACAGCACACAGGCAAGGCTGGGGGACCCACTCTGGTAGTTTTACTTCACACAGCACAGAGTAATGACCCAGCTCACTATTCTCACTTGAAAATTGCAGAGGAATGTAGAATACACAGCAGCAAATTGCAAGCACAAGGAAAGCTTCTGCTTTGAAGCACCTTTTTCATCAAAGCTAGAGTTCTTCCTGGCGGTCTACCACAGTCATAATATGGACAGGCATATAGTTTGTTCTCTGGGGGAAGGATGAAGATTTATTTTCATTTATACAAAGAAGTCGTCTTTTCCTCCATATCACAGTGCATGGATGGCCTGGATGGAAATGGGACTTGCATTTGTGCTGCAGCATTTCAAGGCTCTCGATGTCAGTTCTGCTCAGACCCTGGCAAATACGGACCTCAGTGTGACAAAGGCAAGTACAGCCACATTTCCTCAGCGTAAAAGTGTGGGCTATTTCTTTGGGACCCTAGTAACTTTAAGGTAGAAGTGAACTGCTTGGTAAACAGTCTCCATGGAGGATGGGAAAAATATATCTGGGGTACTTTCATTTTTTATTTCGAAGGGTTACATCATAAGACCAGAGTCAGTGAAAATCTTACTGACTTAATTACGCTTTCTGCAGGGGCCATAGCTTGCTTTATACTTATTTATTGTTCTTTTCTTTTCTGTCTCCCTCTCATAACTGATTGAAAAGAAAATCTTTGCTACTCCATTCCTATCTGTTATTGCCCACAACAGAACAGATTCTGCCTCGAATGACGAACATATGTAATCTAAGAACAACTAGATCTGTGAATAGAGTATCTGTAGGGCCACTCTAATAACTTACTGAATAATTTCTCATCTATTTAATACCTTATACTTCTAGCAGTCACCTTCTATATACTGACAGATTTAACCCTGCTATGTCAAACCATACTGCATTTGAGAGTGTACAGAATATACAACATCAAATATAGATATATTCTCCACTTACAGAATCATTTTTAGTCAGTTTTGCTATGGAACAGCCTGTCAGTCATGAATTACAGCACACTCAAAGGTTCAGAGGTACATGGACAAAAACTGAGAGACGAATCCCATAAGAAAAGGTGGTTTTGCGCAAGCTCCAGCCCTGCTAAAGCAGCACGTGTTGGTTTAACTAGTCACCGCTAGCACTTTTTGGGACTGCAAAATGGTTACCATGTCCTTTGTGCACATTGCTGTACCTCCCAGCAGCACTAATCAGCCCCAGCAAAGTGTTCATAAGTCTGTGCTGCAGCTCTGTGTACTAGCCTAGCACTCTGCAACTTGTAGGATTGTGGACTCACCATTAAAAGGTTTCCCATGTCACTGAAAATACACCCGGTACTGAAAGTACACCAAAAGTTGTGCACAGAAGTAACCTTAGCCTTAATAGCCTATACAAATACACAGTATTTTGCTCCTACTTCTCTGAAGTACTTTGAAATTCATGACTAGGTAAGTTGTCACAATCCGGTGATTCACAATTCGCTTCACACATAAGTGCACTAGAAAGACACAATACATTTTAAATAGGTACCCATAAAACACACATGAAAAGACATGGATATGATAAATATACAGTAAGTCCCCCAAAGTAAGACTATAAATATACAAAGTTTAGACTCTAGAAAGAAAAAGAGGACCCAATTCATAAAAATTGCTATGTAAGGATAGATGTCTTCTACCACTATGGAACTGCACATTGCAGCTTTATCTCTGGTAGATTGCCCCTGCGCTTACGGGAAGTGTGATAACCGAATAGACAGCGACGGGATCTGTCTGCCTGGATCATGCAGAAGTGGATACACAGGGAAACTCTGTGATAAGCAAATTACTCCCTGCAAGCTCTCCTTATGGCCGTGCCATGCATATGCAGACTGTCAGCTTACCGACGGTGAAGTGAGGTAAGTCAGTAACTTGCATCTAATTAATATTAGCTATGCTGCCGCTCTTTCCCATTTGCTTGATCAAAACAGTGCCTTGCAGCAGTACACAAACATCTGTCCACAAAATACTGCTATGCAACAAATAAGCATAAGCACACACAGCTTCGACCTTGAGTTGCAAGACAGTAATTAAGAGTTCTCAATGTACTATCCTGTAACAAAGGGCACCATATAACACTGGTAGGATAGGTGCATATAGATCTGACCCTTGTTCAGAAGGCTGCCTTCCTACCAACATCTACAAAGGCTCTCAAGAACCTCTTGTTTTTAATCATCCCCGAGTGAATTAGGAGCTTGAACCTTGCTGAAAAACAGTGAAACTCAAGCAGTTTGGAGATAGTTCAATATTTGCATGTAACAATATCATGTATTTCAGCACAGACTTTCTGATCCCAAGAGGACTGGTCCCTAAACTCTGTTATAGCTCCAGCTGCCTTGCACTTGCCTCAGGCTCACCTTCACATGCAGCAAGTTTGCCTCTTGCTGCAGTGTATTCATAATGAGTCACCACAGAAAGCAGAACGGGGGCTGCTGCATAACTTGAGTGCTTAAGAAATTCCTTCCAACATAGGTTAATCTTGCGAGGAGTGGGGTCGGTGGGGAGGACTGACAGGACACAACCCGGGAAAATAGAGAGGCTCATTGTCTTGCATGCATTTCAGAGAGCTGTCTTTGTCACTGAAACAAGCAGCAACCCCAGCTCATAATGAATTTAGACCTATTAGCTCACCTCTGCAAAGATAATGTCAGCACAGAATTCATTTCAGTCCCTATCTCATACACAGATAATGAATCTCTGATTTGACTTAATTAACTCAGTCAATATTTTGGAAGAAAACCATAATGTACATACTTAAGCTGTTTGCATCATGAATCCAAGGTTACCAATTTTAAGCCACCTATAAATAGTATGTTACAGTGGAAAACAATCACTTCACTTTCCAGCTGTCCTATCACATTAAATGCCTCCCTCCTCCTCCTCTTGTCTCTATAGCTGTGTTTGCAAACCTGGCTATGAAGGAAATGGCATGAGCTGCAGCAAAGCTGATCCTTGTGCTGCTTCAAGGGCAGGTGGCTGCAGTACCAATGTAAGTATGTGCTTTTCCCACAGAGCCTGACATCACAGAACAGTAGGCAGTAAGGAAGGTTTGACCAGAAACTTTTGCAGAGGGGAAGAGTCATGATTTTTGCTGCAGTTTCAAGCTCTTTCCCCAGACAACAGCATCGCTGTTGCTTAGACAAGACTTACACCTCATGCCAGATGCCACTTAAGTGTCCTGAACAGATGTCTCTGCATCCCCCCAGGCTGAGTGCATCCAGACAGGCCCAAGAAAGCACACATGCGTTTGCCAGGCAGGATGGACAGGCAATGGAAGGGACTGCTCACCCATCAACAACTGCTTACTGCCCACTGCAGCAGGGTGCCACGAAAATGCCACCTGCATATACGTTGGGCCAGGCCAGGTATGTCATCTCACATTTATTGCCACCTTCAGCACAAGTACCCACCTATTTTGCTCTGACATACTTCTTACCCCATCTTCTTCCCCAAATTCTCCTCTCCCTCCCAGCCACAAGGTTATTCCCACACTGCACTCTCTACCCAAAGCAGTCTCCTTCATTTCCTATCCCAGTGCTCCCTCCCTCCCTGCATGGTGGTATCCTGGCAGCAAATACATTCTAGTAAGTACATCAGTAGATGTCAGGTGTAAAGGTCTTCTGGAGATATTAATCAGTGTTTTTCCACTGAAATCAACGTAGCTATAAAGAAACGTAGACTCATTCACCATTTCTAGAAAATGCATGCTATTTTAGTCATTGTAATGAATTGCTGCATTTTATTAAAATGACAGAATGACTGCAAGTGTAAGGATGGATTTCAAGGGAATGGAATTGAATGCACACCCATAAACTCATGCCTGGAACAAAATGGAAAATGCCATCATCTGGTGAGTAATTAATCATTCCCTGAACAAAGCGTTCAGATACATATCACACCTTGCCTCCTCTGCACACCATAGAATTTCCTGCCATTCCAAACCTGCAACTTCTTTTTGAGTTAGAACAAAGCTTTCCAAGCAGTGCTACAAGCACCAAAAATGCTATGTAAGCCACATCAGTATGGTACATGCACTGGGGACAGAATACAGGGACTGCTTCTGATTCTGCCTGTACAGAAGGATTATCTCAAGCCTGGAATAAATAATTGCTGCTTCTCTGCCAGCAATTACAATTTAGATGCACTATTCTGTTGGAATGTTTACCCAAATCACACGTCTATGCAGGCTGGATGTGTTCAGCAGACCTGCAGGCTCTGCTGTGCTCTGTAGTACCTACAAAAGCCACACCAGCCTCAGGTGGGACACAGAGACAGAGCTAAAGCAAAGAGCATTGGGGAGAAGAGGATGGATGTGCCATAGCCAGGTGAAGGAAAAGGGCCCAGTTTATGTAGGGAGGAAGTAAGAAAGGGTGGAGTGAGGGTTTAGATTCCTATGGACTTAGTGCACGGTGGGCAGGGGAGGGAGTTTGCGCCCTTAGCTGACCGAGTTTGTCCTATGGGAGGGTGAGGTCATCCAAGGTAGATGTACAAAGATCCTTTGTTAAGCTTAAGTTTGTATACAAATAGGTTTCAGGAAGAGGCTTTACAGGCCATCCTTGCTCTTGAGTGTTCTCCTAAGTATTTGACAATTTTTTTCTCTTTCTGGTTCAAAGGCAACTTGTCAGTTTGATTCTTCTCATGGCTGGGAGTGTGTCTGCCCAAAAGGCTATGAAGGAGATGGTAGAATATGTTATGGAAATGCTGCAGATGTAAGTAAGATGGTCATCTTCTCTGAGAACAAGATACAGTTCTCACATTGGATCTTAACCAGAGAGATAGTAAAGCCTAAATGATTAGAAAAATATGATGCCCACCAGGACAGTGTTCCTGCAGGGCACTGTTGCCTGATACAAAAATGATCTGTTGTGTTTTAAAAAAGAGCTTGGAAAGACACCTAAGGGATATGAGCATATTTCTTTAAGACAAGTTGAAAAATGCCAGCCCAAATACCCTAACACACAGAAGTGCTAAGCACTCATCTCTCAGCCAGAATCAGTGAGCACCCAGCTCTTCTGAAGTTTTGCCTTAAGGTCTATCTCAGTGGAAATAGTCAATTTATCACGTTAAAACGAACCATGCTGAATGGCAGGAAAATAAAACCAAAACAAGTAGATTGGTGAAATAAATACACATTTAACAGTGTAAGAAAAATTAAAGTGTCAGCTATCCCAGCCATTGGCAATAATCTTACACAGCTCTTAGCCCTGTCTGCCACCCCTGCTCATACTGTCATCTATCTCAGTTCGAAGTACCATGGCAGAATAAAGGCTCTCCACTTGCAGGTTGATATTTAAGATGCTGTACAAATACAAAAAAAAAAAAAAAAGCATACTTTTTTTCAATTAAATCTGCATTGAAGAACAGCTTTAGGCTTACATTCTCAGAAAATTAATGCTTAGCCTGAGGTCAATTACATATCAAGGTCAAGTACACCTTATACACCTAAGCAACAGATGGCCTCATCTACAAAAGTGTTGATAAGTCTCCGTTCTCATTAACAGGAAGTATCATTACTTGAAAAAACACAAACATTCTTCCCTTTTTACACACACTGAAAACATCCTCTGTGTCACATCAGCCTGGGGTTACGCCCCAGGCAACATCAAGAGTACTTGCATGGAGCTAATTATAGCTTACACACTCATTGTTCTTTCTTTCTGTTTCTAATCAGGAATTATCTACTCTATCTGAAGCAGTTGCATTTTACAAATGGGTTCATGTAAGTACATTTCATGGCTAGTTATTTTTTATATTTTTTTTTTTAGTATGTTCAAGTTTGCAGAAAAAGAGGAGCCTTTTAAGCTTTAGAAATTGAAACCTCACAACAATATTCCTATTACACAGCAGAGGCCCAAGCTCTGGAGAGGCATCAGAGTGCCTCACCCACCAGTCATGGCAGGGCTGATCATCGGGTTTCCTATTTCAGCCTGAAAACAAAATTCTGATCCCAAATTCAGGCAAGTAAAGAAGCTCAAGTAAAAGAGAAAGTTACAAGCCCAGTCTCTGAGGCAGAGGTCTACATAAGCCATGACTAGCTCTATACATAAATGTACTTTAATCCAGACAACAGGCAGTGGAGTACAAGCAGAGCCTGAATATGTCAAGTAGCTCCTTCCAACTTCCCTCATGCAGTAAAACTACAAGCAAGTGGAGAGGGAAGACAATACCTTCTCCTTCCCATTTTCACTGAGCCCCATGCCAGGAAAGTGCAACCATACGGCTTGCCAGTGTACTGCTGCAGGTTTGACTGAGGTGCAGGACATGAGCAAACAGATTAGCTTGTTTGGCTTCAGATTTGGGAGGAAGCACCAACTTGCATGAAAAAAAAAGATATTCTAGATAGAGTGTTTTTCACAATCTACTTTTTATTTTCACATGCTATCATCTATTACTAGGGCAGCAGTAACATTAGAGGTTCTATCCCACTGTGGCTGACACTGTATGAATAAAGATCAAAACCAGTTTCTCCACAAAGAGCTTAAAACCTAAATAAGAAGTATATAGCAAATACATGACAAACAGGAACAGGGGTATGTTAATGAACAGCATCAGAAGCAGAAGTCTAGCCGGGAGTCATGCTAGCTGCTTTCATGCTTTTCAAAGTTAGAAAGCTCAGGGATCATTAAAATACTCAATTGCAAAAGGCACCTCCAGGAGCTGCTTAAATGAGAGGCCACTGTGGCTAATTTAAATCAGTTATCTGCCCAGCCCTGGGCTCAGGCTTCAGTATATAGAGAAACTAATGAAGTTAAAGAAATGAGCACAATAGGAAAGGCTGTTCACCTGCTAACATGCTCTTTACATAATAAAGCTGGGGGTTAGGAATGGAATTGGGGAACAGATTCTGTATAATCTGTTGAAGCACAAGCATGGAAGTTTCTGCTACACTTCAGAGAAATGGTATCCCTTAAATTAAATAATCATAGCTACAAACAAGCAAAATAGAGAGGTATATCCATCTGCGGGGTTTTTAACATCATACTTGAGCAGGAATGTGATGTTTACCACTTTTTATAACCAAATATTTTTCTTGCTGGTTAGGAAGGATGAGAAAGGGAAGTCGGTTGCTATTTCTATATTTAAATATTTGAGAGGTGACAGTGATGATAGCTAAAAAGAAAGATGGCCTTAACAGAGACAAAATTCCCAGCTATCTAAGGGCATTGATTCCGTTCTTTACTCAAAACCCAATATGGGTATTGAAGGACAATCTAAAATAAGCCAGCTTCCAGGCAGCATACCAGTTACAAAAAGGTAGAAGCCAAGCTCATATTGCTCCCTCAAGTTTTGCAGTACCAAAAATGGCAAGTTCTGGAGCCTATGAAAAGTTTGGAGAACATCTTCAGCAAAATCACATTCAAATCTTTAGCTCTCCATTTTCTACCCCACAAAAAAATCTACACAACTGGAAAAAACCTTTCCAGTGGAAGGTCACTCCATCCTTAAGGCAGATACAAACATATAGGAGAAGAATCAGTCCATGCACACTACAGAGCCCATATCCCCCATCTAAAATTAGAGCAGTCAACAGCAAGCTCAAGTGCAGTGCTAGTGGGCACAGATATCCCTTGGACATCTTGAACACTCCCAGCAATGTTAAATAGTCTTATTCTAAATGGGAGCACTATGTCATGTGGGTTTCTTATTTCATGGTTCATAATCCTTCTATTAAACAGTGTGGAGTGCTCTATATGAGCAGATTACTTGAAGTTATCAGTAACCAATAGCGTTTCTCACTATGGTTTTTGTGATTTGTTAGTTTGGTTTTCTAACATTCAAGTACATAAAGTCCATAAAACAGACTTTTATGGGAGGCAACTTACATGTTTCATAATAAAAAAAAAAAAAAAAAAAATTGACCTAAACATTGCTTCTGCCCTTTAAATGTTGGCAATCTGTTCTGTAAAAAATACACACTCATTTACCATTTTTGTCCGGCTCTAAGTACTTTTGTTCAAGTCATTGCTCAATATAATAGTTTTTCCTCTCCAGGCTGGTCACAAAGTACGTCACATACTTCACACCTTGCTAAAAAGTCACCGGCTGCTATTTATAGATCATCCTTAGGATGAATTATTTTCCCCTCTTTACTTTCACACAGGAAGCTGAAATAAACTCGGTGTTGTCCACCACCTCAAATCTAACTGTCCTCGTGCCTTCTCTCCAAGCAATTGAAAACATGGATGAAGATGAGAAAGCCTTTTGGATGTCAAAGAGTAACATCCTAACTCTACTGAAGTACGTTAATGGTTTGGGGGTTTGATTTTTTTGAATTAATTGCTTTTCATTCCAAACAAGCCTTCAGTTTGAAGCCACTAGAGAAAGACAGTTATTATAACTTAATAGGATTCCTCTTGCAGTTACAGTGGTATAAATCTCTGTAGCAACTCCACTGAAAACAAACATATTTTTTGTATCATGTCAGAAACGTTTAAAGGCCAGGCTAAGATCAGAACATAGCTGAACTAGGTACTGTATAAACAATTCCCACTTTAAACCACAGTTTTAGACACATGAACCATATTTATCTAGGAGAAAAAAAAAAAACAAAAAAACAACTTCAAATCCATTTAATTTCCTTTAGGTATCATGTATTGACAGGAGCTTACAGCTTTGCTGATTTCCAGAATTTATCATCTTCTGACACACTGCCAACATCTCTACAGAGCAACTTCCTACAGCTGTCTAAAGAAAATGGGGTAAGATGACCTCTAAACCACTTTCGTATCATACATCAAACTCTGACCATCACAGTCTCTGACTTTCTTGTATTACAAAACCACACAGGCATTTTGTACCTAAAAAACAACTGTGTCATCAAATTAAAGGAATAGATCAATTCTATTGGGCCACCTGGGAGAAACATCAACTTGATTTTCTTTACTTAGCTGTAATTTTCCCACAATATTATTTATTCCTACTGTCCCAGTAGCTGCTGCAAAGACCGGACAGTCTTGTAGCCAAGTGGAAGCGTAGTCCCTGCCTGGAGCAGCTTCTGTGATCTCATTTAAGGCAAAGAGCATCAAGGAAACTCAATAATCTATTTTAGGGAACGGGGAAGGTAGGAGGAAGCAGTGACACCACACACATCTGCATGTGTAACTTGATAGCCTAAAACGACATGAAGGTGGTTTTAGCGTTAAATAACTACAACTGACAGCACTTCCCCCTCAGCCTTTTTATTTACTCCATGTTCTGAGGAGGAATTTCTGGAAATAACATTTGGCACATTTTGTGTCTTCATTAAGAGAAGGAAAAGTTCCCCTCACCTCCATGTCCTGAGGGAAAAGTCATGAATGGTGTCCTTCAAAAACTGCACAGAAACAGGAGGATATGAATCGGCACAAGAGCTTATCTGGCTGGGGGGCCGGGGTGAGTGCACCTACCCCAGGTAACCACTCCCATGCAGGCAACCCTATGGTTTTGCCAGTCCAAGTGCAGGGAACAGCCCAGAGTCCCAAAGTTACCTCTCATGCACCTGGCTTCCTGAGGGTAACCTTGCCTCCAGTGCAGACTGGCTCAAGCAGAGCCATGGTGGAGCCCCAGACAACTTTGGGAAAGTGTGGAGATCCACAGCTGGGGAAACGCTAACATCACATAATGCAAAAGTAAACCCTCTTCTCCTCTTCCTTTCAGAACCTCACCCTCCAGGGCGCTCACATCGTGGCTGGAGACATCGCATCCACAAATGGGATCATACACGTTATTGACAAGGTATCAGACCACACAGGGAGGATTTCTTCCTCAGTACGACAAGCAGTGAAAAATAATTAACAGCTCTTGGAAAAGTATTTGCACGGAACAGCATTTTTTCCTGCATCCGATCCTCGCAGGTGCAACCACAGCATATGCACATGCACTGATGTGGGACATCTGCTCCTCTTCCAGGTCCTGACCCCGCTCCGCAGCGCCGTCCTGCCGAGGCTCCTGGCCCGCCTGGAGCAAATGCCCGATTACTCCATTTTCAGGGGCTACATTATTGTAAGCTTTCACATAATTTTAAGAATAGAAGCAGTTCTCTGCTTTCTTTGTGCTTGGACTGGTATCAGACTATCAGTGGCCATTCTGATGTGTTTTTTTTGTGTTTCACAACAGCAATACAACCTGGCAAATGAAATAGAATCTGCAAACGCATACACAGTCTTCGCCCCAAATAATGATGCCGTAGAAAATTACCTACGGGATAAAAAGTCTGCTACTCTGGTATGTATCACTCACTAGACTTGTCTTGATAACTCAGTACCTCCTCTCAATTTCAAGTGGATGGATTAAGAGAACGCAGAAATAGGAAGAGGCATTTGTTTTTCCAGAAATCCACTACATCTGGTTTTAACACCAGAAGAGGTGAGGATGGATTCATTTATATTTTCCTGAGTTGCTGGAAGAGCCTAGCTGTTTGTTTTGGGTTTTGTCCTTCTCTGGATTAAAATCATGCTGATAATATGCAAGACATTTCACCCGTACAGAAAGGGGTTGGGGCTCAATGGGCTTTTTTTGGTTTTGTCTGTCTGTTTGTTTTGCAAAACAATGTCAGTGCAGGAATGACCAGGAATAACACTGAAATCAGTTTCCAAGGTGAAGAATCTCAGTCCCCTGTCATCACTGGCAAACCCATCGCTAATAATATCACAAAATATTCTGGCTCTTTCTTAAAATTATCCAGATGCTTGCCCTGTCACTCCTGCAGGAACGTTACTGCCCAGCCACTTTCTGCAGACCATTTCCAATTCCCAGTTTACAAGCACTGTTGACCAGTCCCAGGGCTCAGAAAAAAAAAAAAAAATGTGAAATTTCCTGCCTAGAAAAATTACATCAGGTTTGTTGCTGCTGCCCACTTCCAGGAGCCCCAAACCAGACTCCTTCCTGACCTGGCCACCAGATCCTCCCATCAGCATGGAAGTGTCCATCCTACCTGCCCTGCTGACATCAGTCCTTGTGCCCAGAGCTAGTTTATGTTATTTTGACAGCACATCTCTGGCCCCATTATATCCCTTTTTTCTTCTGCCATATGCTTTAGCTGAAACAACTTTCTCTCTCTGGCCTGACATATTTACAAGGCCAAAAAGCCTTCACACTTTGCTACATAACTCTAAATTTCAATGTGTGTTTGCAGGATGAAGGCCATATTCGTTATCACGTCGTGCTGGATGAGAAGCTCCTGAAGAACAGCTTGCACAATGGCATGCACAGGGAGACCATGCTAGGGTTCTCCTACCAGGTTGGGTTCTTCCTCCACAATGGCCAGGTATTGTTGTCTGCACTTGCTTGGAGAAACAGGTTGCCTGTTTTTTAAGAATCCAGCTTCAACTTCACACTTCCATGCAGTCAAAAGGAGCTGTGCACCCCCCATTAGATTCTGGGACATAACAGCAGAAAAACTGCAACTCAAATGCAATGCCTCTCTCAGATCTGCTTAATTCCAAGTCACCCTTGAAGGGATCTTTGACTGAATTTTATTGCAGTTGTTCTATTCACATTTAAAATTACATTTAAAAGCTACTATGGTGGATATCTGTCTCTAGCAGCTACAAGTATGCATCAAAAAGCACTCATTAAATTGGCTTCCAAGAGCTGCTAGAAACCTGCCTTCAATTATGAAGCATTAATTCTGTTTTCTCTGGATTTACTCCACTTTCAATCCTAAGATCTCAAAACAATGGACAACAAATGTGAATTGCCTTTCAACACCACTCCTGGGAGAATCAGGCTTGGTCCTCCTTCTCCTCTGTCCGAGCACTCTCTCTGGGCATAAGCAAAGGAGGATTTAAAGCTTCTCACCAAAGAAGTTTCAGCCTTGCTGTTTGCTCTGCCTACAGCAGAGCCTTGGAAAAGCATCTGCTCATGGGGCTGTTGCTGATGAGGGCACAATTGGAGTGTAGGATAGCAGTGAGATGATGAAAGTCCCCCTTGAAGAAGCAGCTACTGGGAGGGCTTCCCTGAACCGCCTCACACCCCACACAGCAAACCCAGCTCTTGGCTTGCTTTAGACTCCTTCCTAAAACCCTTTGTGTTTACACTCCACGGTGGAAAAAGCTGCTCTGTTAAAACCCTATTCCTAAGAAACTTCAGAAGGCTGCAAGTCATCTCATGCCCTCCAGTTCAGCGAAGATCTGAAATGCAGCATCTGGTGGGATGTGAGCAAGTGCTTGAAGTTTTTCTTGAAGTGAGACTTGTGCATTGCTCCTTTCACCTGCTACTGCTCCAGTTACCATATAGCTACCAAACAGCTTTGCTGCTTTCTAACTGATTGCATTTCTTTGGCAGCTATTCATAAATGATGCTCCTATAAGCTACACAAATGCTGCAACAGACAAAGGAATTATTCATGGATTGGGAAAGGTCCTGGAAATCCAGAAGAACAGATGTGACATCAATGACACTGTGATCATTGTAAGTGGTTCTGTTTGTACAGATGCTTAAAAACCTATCAGAGAGATCTGTAGCCAAACACTGCTCAAATGTACAGGATACCAACAATGTGTTTCCCAGTAAGGAATGCACACATTTTCTACAAATGATACTCCTACCAGAGTTTTAACATCTGTTAAGGCAGTTTAATCCTGACAACCAGTGCACTGACAGCCAAGATAAAATATAATCAGAGTAACACAGGATTAAGCAATTCCTGATCTTTAATATTCAGAAAATAATAATGCACTATTCTAATAAATTGTCTTAGTCAGGAAAATGGAAAACAAAATATTTCAGTAAGGAAAAAAATGTCTTCTCTTTCCAAATGCAGATTACCACTGCACATATACACAGACTCCTCATAACCTCTGAGTAAAGGACTGTCCTCCTTTTGTTCCTTTTACAAATGAAATATAAATGTTTTTTACATTCCTCTAAAGAATAAGATTTCCTCAAACTGTCAGAGAAAGGTTTCCTTTGTCTCTTCTCCTGAGTCAGATAGGACAGTAAAAAGGCAGTTTACCTCCTTTTTCACGGGGCATGCAAACTAAACAAGAAAGAAAAAGTGGCCTGTGCTTCAGTTAAAGCAAATTCAACAAGCACAAACTTTTGCAGCTTAATTCTTTTCCTTGGGATACAGTCCCACATTTGAGTATATTTCACTCAAGGGTTTTCTCCAGCTTTGGTCTGCCAGGTCCTTTGCACACAATCCTCTGTTTCCCCATGCAAAATTATTTTCCCCGATACATTGAAATGCAGCAACATACTTAGACATTTGTTTAAGCCTTACTAAAAAGTAAGGAGATAGTTAAACGGGAATAGTATCAAACATTGTGTACTAGATACAACACGTACCTATGCCTTTTGCAGAACCTGATCTTACCTGTGCAAATGATTCACATGCCCACATAGCATAGAACACACACATGGTTTCAGTTTTCCATTTTCAGGCTGTCCTTACGCTACAGGTAAACTGTGTTGAAGCTCAAGACTTGCCCCTTATTGTGCTTTAGATACGGAGGCCTTGGAGAAGCATCTCTTTAGAAAAAGAAAAAAGAAATATCTAAAAGAGCTTTCCTTCTCCTTACCCTTGGGAGGCAGCTTTCCATGGGGTGTCCCTACAAACTCGTTGTTAAGGATGCTCTTCCTTGCTGAGAAGTGCAGCTATCCTCATCACCATTACCAAAGGGCTTATCCCGATTACATACATTGAGGGCTAGCTTTAGAAATACAGCTGGAAACCATGCATTTTCTATTAAACAACCTGTCTGTAGCTCTATACAGCCTGTTAACTATCTCCCATTTGTGTTCCTTAAGGAAAAGTGTAGCATTTGTTCAAACACATCAAGCTGTCCCCAAGGAACAAAAGAAATAGTAAGTATTTTGCCATTAATGCCGTTTATTTTTAATCAAAACTGAGCACAGATGCACTCAATCCTGTTTTTAATGTAATTGTCTCAGCTCCAATAAATGTTATGGTAGTTACTTCAGCCTTTTCCACACATTGCTTACAGTCAATAGACTCAATCCACCCTGAGAGAAAGGGAGCAGAATCAAGAGCAGCTTAAAGATAGTTTTTTTCTTGGAAGACCAGTTTCTAGTAATGCATTGGGATGACTGAATACAGTTCAAACTGCAAAGGTTACATCTGCCACGCAAAACTGAGGAAGGTGAACATGGTCTGGAGTACGCTTGCTACAGGAGGATTTACAGAAGCATTTCTGAGCCCTCCAAATCAGAGATGTACAGAAGGGCAAACTCAACATGACCCAGCAATATGCTGGGAGTTATGGTCGCAGGGAGGCCTGGAGACTACAGAGACTTTGGATGCCCAGGTCCAACACATAAGAACTGCAGATATTTAGCAGTTCTCTGTCAAACACAATATGACCCAGACAATCTTGGTATTTGATTTCCTCAGGGGAAGCCCCTTTGTTGAGATTACATAAGAATACCTTCTTTTTATTATTTTTAAATTAATTATGCAAGTAATAGGATTCCAAAACAGATCAAGTCCCATCCACCCCATCAAAGTAATTGGCTCGCGAAGCTGAACTAAAGTTCTCATGGATAACGCACAAAACCATTAACATTTCCTTTACAATGAACAGCTGGATGGATGCTCATCTTGACCTCCTAACAAGCATGCAATGAGACTACCAAGTCTTCTTAGGCAAGCAATCTTTCCCAGTTGTGTCCAGACCTGGTAGATAATGTTTCAGCAGCTGTTTTTGCAGAACTTTTGCACTCAATTTTCCAAGAAAAATTACAAAGAACAAGAAAGGTGTCATAAAAAGAGAAATGTTTGTCAAACTTCAGGAAAAAATTCTGTTAGTTTCTGAGCAAAGGCAGTATTACACATATTTAAAACACCACAGGGCGCTGAGCTAAATTGATAAAATGTTCAGTAAGAAAAGAAAATATCATTTAGCTAATGCACTTTTATTTCTAAAAGTATTGCCTTAATTTTAATTGTGAATGTGTGAGTCAGTGCACAGCATGCATAAAGATAATGTCCCATTTTTAAAACATTTGAAAGCAGCTGATCAATATTACTCAGAAATGCAGCTGTTTCTCCAATTTTTCTTCAGGCAGGGGAGAAGAAATACTGCATTCTCTCAGGAAACAACATGAGAACATACACCATCCAGCTCAGGTGCCAGACAAAGTGTGCTAAAACCATCATTGTGAGTACACCATTTCTGCTGTGGTATAAAGCCAGGAACCCCCATCACTGAACTTCACCCTCCTCATATTCCCCACTAAACACATACAGGACATCAGGGCAGGCCCTGACAATACATTTATTGGCCTTTATTCTGTGTGTGCCAGAGACTGGAAGGTTAAAGGCTGCTGATAGCTGTAGTGTAAGAAGCACTTGGAGCCAATGCGTGCAGAGTACAGGTCTGGAAAAAGTAACCCCATGCTTGTCCCTAGCAATCCCATCCACCTTTCTCTGGGGTGGTGGAGGGCACCCGGGTCCCACAAAGGACTTGGCGTAGCAGCCTGGGCCCAGCACAGTAAGGCACATGGCCAGAGACCAGCAGAACTCAAGCATTGCTAAAAATCCAGGTCTTCAGTTCACCTCCACCCAGCAGCCACACGCTTGCTGCCGTGCGTGCTACTCTAACCCTCAGCACCACATTTCTGTGTTCCCAGACGCGGGAGTGCTGCGCAGGTTTCTTCGGGCAGCAGTGCCAGCCCTGCCCGGGGAAGGCGGGGAACCCCTGCTTCGGCAACGGCGTCTGCCTGGACGGCATCAACGGCACGGGCACCTGCGAGTGCGGAGAGGGCTTCGTCGGCACCGCCTGCGAAACCTGCAGCCCAGGCAGATACGGCCGCGGCTGTGACCAAGGTACCGAGCACCCCAAACTGCACAGGCGCCTTCGCTCATCCTGGCAGATGGGGAAAACCTGCCCCTTAGGCTTTCTAACCGGCTCCGTTCTAGGCCCTGGAAAGGTGCATCACTTTCAGGGTCAGAGTTCAGTCTTAAAAACCATCATTAATCCTTTTCTTTCCCCATTATGCTATTTTCTCTCTACTCCCTTGCTTGGAGATGGTGTTTCCTACTCTGGCATACTATAGGCTTAGAACAGCATCCAGCGAGAAAGAATAATCCTCTTTAGTACTGCTTTTTCAACAATGCTTCCCTATTAAAATATGGCCTCAGTCCCTGAATTTGGGAATAGACGAAAGATAAGTGTATTCTGAACTCAGATTTATTCTCTAGGTAGAAACCACTTGGCACAAGCCAAAGCATTTCTTGAAATCCTTTGAAATTTCTTGAAATAGCCTAGAACAGAGGGTGGTGCCAGCAGAGGACATCTGTGCCATCCCCCCTGCCCTTCCTTCCCCTCGCTGCCTTGCTGCGTACACTGCTGCCCTGCCCAGGGGTTTCCTCCCTTCTCTCCCCACAGCGTGTGCTTGTGTCCACGGGAAATGCAGCAGTGGGATCAATGGGGATGGCTCCTGTGAGTGTGATGTTGGCTGGAGAGGGGTGACATGCCAGACCGGTAGGTATCCCTTCTCTTTTTTCTGGGGTGAGAAGCAAGCATTTTTAGGAAACGTCAGAACTACAGCTGTGATCAGATCCTAGTGCTCTACGAGATACCCAGCAGCTTCCCACAAGCAGTGAAATACAGTTGACACCCCTGTGCTATAATGATTACTATACTAACAGAAAGCCAGCTGAGATACTGCCTGTGAGACTTAAATGTCTTACTTAGCTAGCTCTCTTATCTATGTCACCCTGCACCTGTCCCAAAAGAATAGCCCATTTGTGAAGACTGTCTTTTGCCCAGTAGAGTTCCCTAGATCATTTTGATCTGCAGATCAGAAGACTCTCAAGTGCTTCAATAGGCTGATTTAGCTATACAACACTGGATATTAAATCGTGTTCTTGCTAATACAATAAAAAATAATTAGAAAATAAGTCTTTTTGTGTTGATTAGTATGGACGCAATATCCAATAGTTATGTTTTGACTAGACATAATTAAAATGTATTAAATAACTATTTCAGAACTCTACATATAATAGTATCAAATAAAAAATCATATAAGCAGATTAATAATAGTATTCAGTATTAGTTTTATATTTTTTCAGGGAAAAATAGTGGTGAAATGAACTTTATAGTTAGAGTTCCTATATCTGAGCAAATTTCAGTTCCTTTAGAAAACCTACATTTATACACTTAAACTAATAATGTGCAAAACTCACCAGACTAAATACAGATAAACGGCAACATGGTTGCCATGCCTCTTCTGCACAACTGAACTTAAGTGGTACCAAATGGTCTATGCAGATGGAGCTTCCATACAGACTGAGAGCACAGTTGTCTGGTGCAGAACTCTACAACAGACTCCAGCTCTGCATGGTGGGAACAAAAGACTGGGAAACTAGAAGGACGTTGACCCAAAAGGTTCTGATCCCTGTTTCTTTTTTTTTTTTTTTTAACTCCTCTTGCAGAGATCAAAGACGATGCATGTAATGCCTCATGCCATACCAGTGCTAAGTATGTATGAAATCCACTTGTTTGGAAGAGAGGGGAAAAAAGGGGTTATATTGCAAAGCAAAAACCATAGTCTTTCTTGCTTTTCATGAAGGCTTCTCAGTAGCATAGATAATACTCATGTTTACCACCACAGATATGTTAATGTAACATATTCAGTGGTGAGGCCAAAAAGTTAAGAATGTTCATGTTAAAGGGGGAAACAAATAGGAGTTTGTGGGAAGAAAAAAAAAGTGAAACTTCCTAGTATGCAAAGAAATAGATAGGACTGGATTGTGCTGGCTGTGTTATCACGTTGTCCCTGGGTGACAGCAGGGAGCAATCACTGTATTATAAAGAGCTTGTGGGGCAGTAAACCCATGCTTGCATACAGAAGGCCAAACTGTCCAAAAAAACCAAACCTGAACCTAGAGGACTCAGATGGCTTGCTCCCACCTCTGCACATCTGTTCTGCTGCAGCCCTCAAACTGCATGCACACAAAAATTAGTGCAGTTTTGGGGTGGGCAGGCATGCAACTTCTTGAGTTCTACACAAGAAAATAGGACACTTGGTGACCAAAGGGCGCAATTTTAATACTTAAAAAAAAGTCCAAAATGCATGTGGAAAGCTTGGTCTGACTAGGTTTATTTTTTATGGTTGTAACTACATTGTACTGTACGGTTAAATGCCTTGTTGTTTCTGTGCGAAATTACCTTTGGAACAATGCACAAAAAGGGCCCTACAGAAGGCCTAACTTTTTTTTTTTTTTTTTTTAAATGTCATCTCCCTCCTTTTATTCCTGTAGCTGCCTGCTCCTATCAAATGGCACTGCCTATTGCAAGTGTGCAGCTGGGTTTGAGGGGAATGGGACATTCTGCACAGGCAAGTGGACTTTTGTTTCTTCCATTTAAAAGAAAAATAAAAATCCAAACATGCTTGAAGCAATCTGTGGTCACAGTGGAGCAGGTGAGAGATGAGCAATTCCCTGTGCACCAGTTGAAAAAAAAAAAAAAAAAAAATCAGGAATTGTTGCCAGTTTGCTAAAAGTAGGTAAGAGCCCAACAGGTGTGGACTCATAGTAAACAAAGAGCTCAGAATCTCCAAGATGCAAGGCATTGTGCTGAAGGAGACCAGAGAAAAGGGAACATGCCGTGCACAACCCAGGCCTCATTGTTTGCAGAGTAATGAAACCTGGATTATGACTTTTACTCCCTTTCCCAACAAAGCCCAGCAAAGAGAGGTCAATTCAGGGTACAATAGCACTTCCAGCTATTGGAAGATGTATACCCCTACTGTTTCCTCACCTTTCTGAACTTGCACAGATTTCTAGGGTGGTAGAATCAGACCAGACTTTAATAAAATTTAGACCAGAGAGACATCTGCGAGACCCTCAGAAAGGGGCAATAGCAGTTTATTCTAGGTGTTCTTCCAAGAGTCTAGGCTATCCAGACTTACAGAATAGATTGCTTTCCAGCTACAGTGACTGTAATTAATTTTACAGTTGTTTTACTTAATCCTTAACTGATGAAAATAGTAATGCTCTTGGGAACAGAAGCATATTTGTCAACTCACAATGGCTGACAGGGTCCTGATCCAAGATTTTAGCACTCTTACTCTGGCTGCTTTCATTTTTTCTTCTGGCACAAATCAGCCAAATCCATTTAAAACTACTGGTGGGAAATTCCCCATCTGCAGAAAGACTCAGTGACACAGCTTGCACCCACCTTTATTCACCTCTACAGGGTTCCTAGGCAAAACCAGATGCAGGACAAGTCATCTTACCAGTATAGCTCTTACAGCTGCTGAAAAGGCAGTTTGGGGTGATTTGAGGCAAAAATTAAAGTAATATTTAGACCGATTTGATTCACATTGAAAAGGCTCCTTCCCTGCTCCTCAGCACAACCCAAGCAAACTCAATTTGTAAATCTCTTGCTCTAGAGTTGGAAAAAAGGCACAAGCATCCATATGAGAAACAACCAGGACTTTTTGTCACAGGAAGGCTGGGTAGCATTATGCTCTAGACCTCCTGCAAGAGAAGGCACATTATCCATGTGCAGAAAAAGGCAAGCTAAGGGAAAGCTTCAAATGGCCATTTAATCTAGAGAAGAATGTGAAGATTTTTCTTTTTTTTTTTTTTTTGTGCTTGGTTGGAATGGGCAGAATCAGAAGATGGTAAGTTACTGAAAGTCAGTCATGAATGAATTCTTATCTTCCAGATTAGAATTATCCTCTCATCTTTCCATCTTTTAATAATATGTATTAAATATCCATCACTAATTAAGTCTATGGCCTCTTAAATCAGAAACATTGTGTTCAGAAAACGTTACCAAATCCCTTTAAAACATAGAGACAGCTTAACCTGAAAAGTGAAAAGTCATTTAAGCACATTGGTTTAGTCTGGGTTGTTGTCACTGTTCAGCTATCGATGCTTGCAAGACCAGCAACGGTGGCTGTTCTACCAAGGCGGAGTGCCAAAGGACAACACCTGGCAACAGAGTGTGTGTCTGCAGCGCTGGCTACACTGGAGATGGAATAATCTGCATTGGTAAGCACTTGCAATGTCTCATACACCACACAGAGGAAAACTACCCAAGTGATTTTTGTCCTGTAAATGAAATATCCTTCTTCTGCTATGACCCAGAGCTACAGTTTCCTGATACAACAACAAACCCCAATGACAAAGGCATCTCTACCTGCTGTGTGGTTGATGCTCTTTGGCAAACCATCCAACTACGGCAGTGTGGTGTGACACCAAAGCCAATCAAAAAAGATCTACATCTCAACCAGAATAAGCCCATCTTCAGCAACTTGATACACTCATGCTCCTCTGACCATTGCACTCTTAAAGACTTTAAGACACTGTTTTACCATACCTATCCAAGTATGGGTTTGGAAATGTTGTCAGCAGGAGTTTAGCCTTCACTAAGACAACTGCAAGACCAAGATATTAAGTAGCTAAGGGAATGGGTCTCATTTATTCACGGTTGTCATAGATCTGCATTCCTAGTACTCTTTACTAAAATTCTCCTTTCTTGGATTTTCAAACATCACTTTTTTATTTATTATTCTGTTTCATCAAGAAATCAATCCTTGTCTTGAGAACAATGGTGGATGCGATAGAAATGCAGAATGCACACAGACTGGACCCAATCAAGTGAGTATTTTGTCAGTGTAGATAAATAAGATGGACCAACTCTTTACAGTCCAGTAAAAAAAGATTCACTCAACTCAACTTTGTTTTTAAATTGAAAAGCGTATTTCATAACAAAACCCCTGAGAAGTATATGCTACTCTCAAAAAGGTATTTGAGGGGGAGTGGAGACAAACATAAAATGAATTTCAGTAAAAGAAATCCAAAACTGCAAAGGAAAGCAGTGTTTTGCCATTTCAAGCAGTTGTTTTTCACCTGTGGGAGGTTTTGGTGTGAAAACTTGTCAGTCTGAAAGTATTGCCAGATAATGTTTCTTTCATTGTTATAGAAACTGTCCACAAAAAGATTCCATTCCAAACTAGCCCTTTCCCCAGCATAGCTCAAATGGAAAATTCACAAGGAAACAAAACAGCCTGAATCACAGTTCTGATATAGGGGGTACAGCATACCAGCATCCACTCTCTGCTGTTCTGTATCTTTCACACAGAAGTACCACACACTTTCCAAAGAAAACAGTACAAAGAGATGAGGGGAGAAAGGAGAAAGAAATTTGCCTTTGCAATTAAGTGACACCGATTATTGTTTCTGTTTTTATAAAAAGTTTCAGAAGAAGCCGAACACCCTCAATACAGCACTTCTTATCCTCCGTCCTGTAGTTTCATACTGGCTTTAGCAGGACTGTAATCCTCCTTCAGGAGCAATGCAGGAAACCATGACCAGGAGTCAGAGGCCGCTTCCTGCCTTCCAGTTGTCTGGGAACAGGAGAAGCAATAACCCCACCATCTCATTTTGCCAGTACCAAGTGGTTAGCTCTTTGCCTGCACTGTCATTTGCAAGTCTGTATACTTCTGGCAGGAGCACAGAGCCACTCCATTTCTTCCCCATCCCTCTAGACAAGACAGGTGATGGCTTATTCTTCCATACAGCCTTACCAGGGATAGAAGTAGTACAACATGATTATTTATACTTCCATACCCAGTTAACATTGGAGCAATAACAAGCTCCACTACGAAATCCCAGCGCAGCAGTCAAACTTACAAAACAGAAATGCGTCTGTTTTCTGTAGGACTTTCAGTCATTCAGGTACATAAAACACTGGTAATTTCCTTTCTGCTGAAGAAATCTCCTTGAATTTTCAATCTCCTACATATTCAGTGTGAATTCTACATTGAGAACCATTAAGCAGAGAATTGTAGAAGAAAAACAATTTCTTTGCAACCATTTTAATTTTTCATCTTTGTGGTAATTGCAAATGCAAAACAGAAGAGCCACCGTGTAAGTGTAAATGCATTACCTCTGCAGGGGAAGCCATCAATAACATCAAGACAAAATGTACATTTTGATATTACGCTTCATCACTTTAAAAAACAATTTTAAAAAATATTTAAAAACCCAAACAACCAAGAGAGGAAGGGAAGGGAAGAAGGGAATAGCAACATACACACATAAAATGAGGGAAACAAATGAGGGGTTTAACCTGTTTCACCAGCACAATGGCTGTGTGCAGATGTCAAAGCAGGCATTTCAAACAACCAACACAGCAGAAGATAGACAAGAGAGAGATAGGCAGGGAAAGGGCAGATAGAGCCTCTTGGAAATTATTGTTCCCCAATCTCAGTCTACAGTTGCTTATGCTGGCTAAGAAATGCTGCTGCAAGAGAGATGATGCAATTTTAGCTGAATAAATTGCACATCATATAACTATGAAATAACCTGGGGAAAAAAATTAAATGTGTACTAAAAAAAAAAAATCAATCTTCTTTCTTTGCATGCATGTTTCTGTTTTGTAGGCAGTATGCAATTGCTTGAAGGGATACTCTGGAGATGGTAAAACATGCACATACATCAGTCTATGTTCACAAGTAAGTATTCAGTTAAGGAGGGTCTTGTTATAATCATTACACTTTTATGTTTTGTATGCACTCAAAAATAAGTCAGATATGCCCAGGATCAACTTACATTAACCTAACTAAGATTTTAAATGTGCTTGGTTCATTACATGTTTTAGTGCTGTTGCTATTTTAGAAACCAAATATGCAGTAAGGACTTTTCCTGCACCACAGCCTGGACATAACACGAGTGAGGGCCTGAATTCTGAGTCTTAAAAAAAAAAAACAACCAAACACACAATTCACATCAGATCTAGAGAAACAGACTGTAGTCTGTGGTGGTAAAATGTAAATCATATCTTCTTAGCAAATTTATTGTCACTGCTAGAGTTCATATAAAAAGCCACTATCCAAATTTATGTTTGGATACAGAGGGCTTACCAACATTTCAATTTCTACCAAAAAAAAGTCAAATTTTCCAGGCAAAACAATATAAAAGCTTGGTTCAAATGAAAGAAAGAAGTGTGATCTTCTACATGTCACCTGCAATGACAAAAAAAAAAACCAAACATACCACCCTACAGTTCAGGTTGTTGATGCTCAGGGGTCAGTTCCAGATGTTCTAGGAGCCAGGTGATTTAGAACCACAGAGAATATTCTATGTTAGATAAAAATGCCTATTTATTTTTAATATTCTCCTGTCATTAAGTTTTCTAGTTTGATTTGGGACCATATCTGTGCAGCCTGAACAAGAGAAATTATCTAGTGTCAGCATACACATTCCCTTCTCAGTCAGAAGTATCAAGTCCTCACATTGCTGTGTCATTACCAGTGAAAAATGTTGGGGCAAAGATGTGTTCAAAGCCCTGGGCTCCCTGGAGTAGATGTTTCCAGCAGAGGTCCCAGCCTGCAGGCTTACCTACGGCAGAGCTTCCATGGGGCAAGTCAAAGAGCAGAGCCCCACAGCCCCTACAGGGGGGCTGCATCCCAAATGCATCCCTGTAGATGCATAATACAGGATAGCAACCACTTCAAGCTGCAGCAGAGGCAGCTTAGTGAATAGTGGAACAGAGGAGGCAGGATGGTGGATGTGGAGAACAGAAGCCTCTCTTGATGGGGAGGTTGCACCATTCTCTGCACCAGCCATTTTCCTTCTTTCCCTCCACACCACACAATGCAGAGCTTCCCATGGCTTTCCTCATTTTGTCCCTCACTTGTCACTGCAGGCTGAGAATCAGCCATATGAGTTCCACAGGAGCTAGTTCGCATCCTGCAAGCCATGAATTTGCAAACGCTGCGGTTCTCTGCACCAGCTGTGTTGCTCTGCTTCTTGGCAAGCTGCAGCAGGGACATAACCACTCTCCCAGGGACATTAATCCTTTGTGCTCCGAGTGCTGTGACAATAATTCTCACCCTCCCAGCCTAGCCTGTCACTGGAGTTTCTCTAACCTTGAAAGGTTAGAGAGATGAAAGAGCAAGGGGAAAAAAAAAAAAAAAAAAAAAAAAACAACAGCCTGAGGAAGGGGAGCTCAAAGCTCTCTATTGCTTCGTACAATTTTGTAGGCTTTTGCCTTTTCCTATGCTTTGTTCCAGCAACATTGCTTCCAATTGGCTAACTATATATATGTATTTTTTAATAGTTTTGAAAAGTGTTACTAGCAGACTAGAGGCTAATCTGTCTTCACTCAGGCAAACGTCTGTGCAGCAAAGCTTCCTGGGAAGCCACAATAAATCCAAGATTGCCAACAATCAACCTAAAGCTAGTTAAATAAAAAGAAAGTGCACGCAGATCCACTATTTACTATGGCCTGTCTAGCCATACTAGTAGCTCCCACAGGAGAGTCTGCTTCTGCTCCTGCTCATGGCCCATGGGAAAGGACGTGACTGGTAACAAGAAAGACACTATGAAAAAAGCAAAAGGAAAGGAAACAAGATGACTTCTCAGTTTTTCTGGATTTTTTCTTAAGCCCAGGATAAAAACTCGAGTGCAAACTGAGGTTCTATCTTGGGAGCACCCACAAGCCTTAGATTGCATGTGTGGTTCATCCAGGGGCTACCAGGAAAGATTTTATAGATGAGCACGTGGCAGAGCCCTGTTCCAGTTGGCCTGGTCCAACAGACAGATAAAGAACAATAGACACTTCCATGCTAATGCTCCCCCAGAAATCCGGACTCCGAGCACTATAAAAGTGATTTACCTCTAGAAATAGTTCTCTGCAGTGTAAGTCAATGCTGCCTTGCCAGAGCAGCTAAGACTCATTCCCAAGGTACAGAATGAAACCTGCCTGGAAATTGTTTGGATCCTCATAACACCATGAAGTGAAGATATAAGGAGGGAATAAAAACTACATCCTGTGCATAAAAGGAGAGTTATTTCTTATGAAAATTAAATGCTTTTTGTTGTTTACAAGCAAGTACATACTGTCAGAAGTTCCATTAAGATATGGTTTTATAAAGCTGTTGGGAGTAAGTCTTTCTGAGCTATGTACATTGGGGGGAAAAAAAGTGGTGAACTAAAATTGTTCTGCACACCTGCTAGCAAAGGAATTAAATGTTTTAAAATTTGATCTTACAAGAATAATGGAGGCTGCAGTGAATTTGCCATCTGTAATGACACAGAGCTGACAGAAAGGACCTGCACCTGCAAACCTAACTACATTGGGGATGGGTTTAAGTGCCGAGGCAATATCTTCCAGGTAAAGTGTTGCATATGTTTGCTGTCCTTTATTTTTCTTTGGATAGTTATTTCATACAATGACTGTCTCTTGAAATGTGACAGTTTTTTCTTTAACAAATTGATAAATCTACCCCAGAATTTTAAATAATCCAAACCCAAGAAACCAGGAGTAGGATGTTGCAAGATAACCCTACCTGTCTCAGAAAAACAACCAACAAAAAAGCAAACCAAACAAGCAAAAAAACCAACTGGACAATTGTTACTGACTGCAGCATTAGGAAATTAATACCAGTATTTTTAGATTTTAGAGAAGCCTGTTCTTTAACAGAGCAAGGTAAGAAAAGAACAGGAGCAATGCAGATGGGTAGTATTTACTCCAAGCCAGTTCTCTTTCTTCTGCAAGTGCTGCATTTATTTGTACTCCACAGTTGTTGTCTTACGTTTGCAGCACTGTAACAGTCCCATTCTTGATTGCAGGAACTTCTAAGGGACCCCAACACATCTAGGTTTTATTTCCACTTAGAGGTAAGAAAAGGTCACACTTTTTTCTTTTACCCCTTTTTTTGGAGGGTGGGGGGAGGATGTCATGTTAGGGGGGGTTGAGGTTCACAGTCTTTTTCTTTTTTAACGTCAAGGGGGGGCAGAGAGCAGGCATGAAACCAGCATGTGTCAGCATCCTTCAGCTTAATTAGAACTGAGTTTGGATCACCAGCCACTAATATTAGAGATGCTCTAATTTAAATTATTAACTGTCATTAAAACCTCTAGAGAATTAATAACAAAGACTAAGATACCAGGGAAACTTAGGGGCCCAAGACCAGGCATAAAACTGAAGCTTTTACCCACTCACAGTCTGAGATCTTCCAGTACATCTCTCATGAATTTTGATGAAAGCAAACACTATTCTTCTAGCCCTTTTGCATTCCCAAATTTCAGCACTGATTTTAGTTGCACCTCAGAAACATCACAGGTGTTGCTGATGTGTGTTGCTAGACAGCTAACGTGCCCCACCAATTCTCAATGCCTTTTGGAGACTGGCAGTAGTTATGCTCCATTTACCCCAAGCCTCGGGTAAGAAATAAAATCCATATTCTGGCCTGCTAGCTCAGAAACTCATATTCCATGTTCAGTTGCACTACCACAGTAAACTGATTGCTTCCTCTCACTTCAGCAGAGCTCTCTTCTTATTGTAGCTTGTCAGCAGCCATTGCAAGGCCCCTCCAACACTCCAGGTCCATTTGTCCTTGTAACAGTAGTTAATATACTCCTAGATACAGGCAACTGTGTATCAGTTAAATGCATGTACAAACACATAAATATACCCACTCAAGATTATCTCAGGATGAAAGGGTTTACTCAACCCTCACCCAGGAGGGAATTGCTTCTCCCTACACTGTGTTGGTTGAGAGCTTTCCCTTTTCTTCTCCTGTCGCTTACTGCAGAGGAAATGGAGACTTGGCTATAAGCTGAAATCTTCCACTTGATACCCCTCTCTCACCCTTGTGTTGCGGAGGAGTGTAATGGTTTGAAAACAAACCAGTGAGACACTCAAAGTCAGAAATACAATTTAATAAGGAAAAAAAAAAAAAGCAATAATACAAAGGAAAACCACAGACAGAATCAGAATACAACCTGATACTCTGTAGTTAGGGTGGTGGTAGCAGTCCAGATGAAGCAGTGGTCTCGTAGAAAAAGATCTGGTAGCTCTTACCCTCTGGAAAATCCCAGTGGGTAAGCCCCCCTGTGCTGTACTGAATCCCAGTTTATATCCAGATGGGAGCACTCGGCTCCTCCCCCTGGGCAGAGCTTCTCACAATGGGTTGATATCAGTCTCTGAGTCATGCAGTGTGTCCTTGATGGTCCATTACACAGAAATAGTTCCTGGGGGGAGCTCTGTAAGAGTCATGGGGCGAGGCATGGATGGGCCCATTAACAGGGAGGAGGACTCCTGCTGGGTGGGAAAGGTGTTAACATCTCCCCTGACCTTGAACCTCTTTCCTTATCTGTTATAGCCTGGGGTGTGAGGTCTGTCCTGGGCAGCTGCTACCCATGATTTTCTTAACAGCCCATGAGCTCTGACATAGAGAGTATAGAATACACAGTTTTTAGTTCTACCCACATAAGGATAAACTGGTCTCAGCCCCTGTAACCATGACAGGGAGGGAAACAGATGCCGCAGTGACAGGGCTGTGGGCACCCCCCACTGAGCAGGGCTGTCTTCGTCACCGCGTGATGTTACGCGTATTAACGACTCATGGCTGCTTTGTCCCCTTACACTTGGCAGGCCTTGTCCATCAGAGATATTGCAGGCCCTGGCCCCTTCACCCTGTTTGTACCTCGCACAGACGTACTAAACAGCGACCCGCGGGTACGTAAGAAGGCCAGAAGTTTTTGGTGAGCTGGCCACGAGGTTTTGTATTTAGATGCCTTGCTCAGCTGCTTCTTAACTCTCCACTTTGTGCTGCAGGTCAAGGACTGGATTGCCAAAGGAGTCATGGCCCAAGTCCTCCGGTACCACATGGTGGGTTGTGCCAGTCTGTTGTACAGTGACCTAACAACAATCAACAACATCACCTCTCTTCATGGGGACCTGATACACATCAGCTACTCTCAGGTAAGAGCACGAAGAGGAAGGGAACAGAATAATCAAACAGTCTGCTCTCATTCAGCTTTTTTAGAAATCTGAATGATTCCCTTTCTTCCTCTAATGCATAAAAATAGCATTAAAACGAGGCTGCCCATTCAGCTGAAGTGTTCAGGAATTATCTGCTGTGCAGGGCGTGGAGTTGTACAATCCTTGCTTTGACACAAGTTATCTTACCCTCAGACTCAGGCTTTATGAGCATGATGGGAGTTCAAAAAAGCAAAGGACAACTGAAGCTACTGCTTACTGCAAAGAAAGGGTGGTCTGGACTCACTGTATCCGAGATATTTGGCATCGGCCTCACCCACCCACAAGGTTCCACAGAAAATGTGTTTTTGTTGCTTTCCAGAACTCACTCTTTTTGAACAACAATGCTGAAGTTATACTCAGTGATGCTGTTGGCACAAATGGTGTGATCCATGTCATAAACCAAATTCTGGTTCCTTCACATATGCAGGATTTCCCCCTTAAGAAGGTATGTACAGTTCATTGTCATTCTCATTCTGGTGGCTTTCTGTATTTACTGTTAAATATACAAATCGTGAGTCACCAAAAAGAACAGTGATACTAAAAGGACCTTATATAAACATCATTTAACTTTAACTTATTCAGCAGCGTCAAATATATTTAAAATTCATTCAGGAATTACAGTTAAGAGGTCTTCAGCACAGTACTTTTATATCAACATTCATTTCATAACAAAAAATTACTTACAGGGTAAAGCAAGCTAATATCCACTTTTAAAATACCCATATAATGTATTTACTAGTAAGTCACCAAATATGTCTGTCTTTCTAGGAAAGTCTTAAGATGGTTGCCGCCAAACATGGATATATCCTGTTCAGCAGTTTGCTAGAGGTAAGGACACAAGAGATGGCAGCCATTGGGCAAAGGTTTTAAACATTTCTCTTAAAGAAAAGAGCACAGACATGGAACATGGCATCACTGGCAGGATGATGTTCAGTTACACCAGACATTCAACCCATAGAATCAATGTCATTATAGACAAAGCATTAATTCCCTGCCCAAATTTTTGCTATGTTGCAGAAGAACAACCTGCTTGGGCTGATCAACGATCCTATTCACAAACCAGTCACGCTCTTCTGGCCCACAGACACAGCCATCCGCGGGCTGCCACAGGAGCAGCAGGACTTCCTCTTCAAGAAGTCCAACACAGACAAACTGGTGCAGTACCTCAAATTCCACGTTGTCCGTGACACTGCAGTAAGTTACCTCCTTGCTTTCTAGGAGAATTGCCAAGGCTAAGACATGCAAGCCCAGACGTGCATCTCCCCTCTTTCCTTCCCAGCTGTTGGCCTACAAGCTATCCAGCTCCATCTCACTGAAGACCCTGCAGGGCTCTAATCTCAGCGTTAGCTGTGGGGATAACGGGGAGATTGTAAGTATACACTCTGCCAGCACACTTACCCCTTGCCCTTGTTGCAGGATTTGCTCATACAGACCCCACCATGCCTGTACGCAGCCCCCAGAAAGGATCAGTGGCATCAAAACTCATTGATCTTTGCCAGTCCGCACCAATAGCCACAAAACCAGGGCAGCCACTCCAATAGTTTAGACAGACTAGATGCTTTGCAAGACTCTTTGGAGCTGTCATTTCTCTGTTGTAAAATGCTATTTGTTCAAAACAACTCTCAGTTACTTCAAAACTGAGAGACTAGCACATTTCAACTTTTCCTACAACAAAATACACAACAGAAAACTATGAAGACTATGAAGCTGGCTTGGGCAAACACCCCAGAAATGTAGCATCTGCAGGCAGACTCTGATTTGTAATCATTTACAAGCTAAGATTGCATACTTAGATACTCAGCCTACTGAGCCAGAACATCAGCACATTTTTCATTGCACACGTACAGGGCCATACTCACATAACCCCTGGCAAGCATCTGCTTCTGAAAATATAGCTAAGCCTAAATGTGCATCAGATAAGGCTTTGGACACCAGCTTGGCATAGTCTGTTGCAAGGAAAATGATATAATGCTGTTATGTTATAGCATTCAGCTATAGGAATGGAGGCCCCCAGACTGGTTTAGAACAGAAGGAGGATTATCCCTCACACCCACGCAGGACCTGGATTCAACCTGGCCCCAAGGAATCATGACTTGTCACACTTCCCTCTTCCCATCCCGCCTCCTAGGGCGCACTTTTCCTGAACGACAGAAAGTGCAAGATAGTGCAGCGGCAGCTGGAATTCGATGGGGGCATCGCCTATGGCATCAACTGCCTGCTGACCGACCCCAGCCTCGGAGGTCGCTGCGACACTTTCCTCACGGTGGATTTCATGGTCAGTCCCCTTTTTTGGTCCCCCACTCTGTCAAAGACACCACCTGAGGGCCAAGCCCTGTCCTCACGGAGACCAGGATAACACTTGGAGTAGCTTTGGCACTACTGAGGTTAAGTGCCGCCACTTCAGGCTGGCTTCACCTGCTGCCCTGGTTAGAGCTAAGGTTGAGAAGTACAGCACAGCACCTGAAAGATGCACGACAGAAGTCCTGCATCCACACTAAGCAACACATGGGAAGGGCAGTCTCAGTTAAGAGCAGTTTAGCAAGCCCTGACCTGTTTTGCTCAGGCCAGAACAGTGCCTCGGAAAAGAAAGCATGTATATGATCAAATATGGATTTTCTCAGTGTGCTTTTAAATTAATATATATTCACACTACAGATTTGGTCATAGAGATTGTATTTACAAAGCTCTCAGTTATCCCCTGCCCCAGCTGCATGGGGTATGAAGGACAATGACAGAAAGCTGCTTGGTCTGTCAGCCAGGCTCTCAGTTTCTCACATTTATTGCTTTCATAGAAATCTGCTTTAGCACACCTGAGTAGGGAGTGTTCTCATGGAGGAAGCTTCCTTCATGAACTTTGATGTGTCCCACAAACAGGAAGTTTCAGAGTCACTTCAAAATGGGTTTCAAGACCAAATCTACTTCAATTTAATTCCAATGTATGAAAAAAACTGCCTAGAAGTTAAAAAAAAATAAATTCATGTAGTCAGTCTTAAAAAAGCTTATTGGAATTTTAATTTTTTTAATATACCTTCAAAAATTATTTCCATTATAAAACCGACACTTATGTGCATCCCTCAGGTTACCTTTTTTTTTTTTCATTATTTTGTCAAATTAAGTAGATATAATTTCCTCAGATGTGGTCAGTACTTCCCAAGAAGTAATCATCTACCTCTATTCCAAATGAGACATCCAGATCTGATGCAGCGCATGTCAATACTTGTTTGAAGAATATCCACCATCTTTTCCCTGCTTGTTTAAATCCACAACTAAATTTCTTCTTCTGGAACTTGTATTTTTGGTATCAAAACTAATTTCTTGGATTTCATGGCACTAAATAAATGCAACAATTTTGTTGTCATTCTCCTCTCTTCTTTCCCCAGAGTTCTCACATCTCAAGCACGATAAGCCTACACTCCTCTCATATTTGCTGCTTTCCTAAGACAGATGTTTTTTTTTCCATTTTAAATAGTATTCTGTTGCCATTGTTTTAATATGTTTTTTTTTTTTTCCCCCCTTTTTCATCTTGTACAACAGGGGCATTGTGTTAGCTGTTTCCGTAATTCTAAATGCCCTCCAGGGACAAAACCAAAGGTAATATATTAAAATCTTGCATTTAAGCAATCTAGCCTGCATTTCTCTCTACTTCACACAAGCAAACTAGAGTAAGTTGCACTGAAAAAATAAAGAGAGCAGCCCCTCATTCTTCACTAATGGTGCTTAGCAAGCTGGGAATCAATGTGAAGGTGGGGCCCCACACATCACATTCTGATTCAATGTACATCAGAAATTGTGATCTCAAGAGGATAAAACCCAAACCTCCACACAGCACTCATCTTCCTGTGTTTTCTCCCCTGCCCCTCCCTGCACTGGCACGTGCAATGCCCAGGAAGGGATCCACCGGTGCACGTACGAGTCCTATGGGCTGCGGAGGGACGGCTGCCGTAGGAACTGCTCCATGGTTATCCAGAGGCCCAAGTGCTGCAAGGGCTACTTCGGGCCAGACTGCCAAGGTATGTCCCCCCTCCCCACAGCTGGCTGGACAGCACCCCAGCAGGCTGAGCTGTGAGAGCCAGGATAGGGGGCATGAGGAGAGACCAGCCACAAGATAGGGGAACTCTGTTGGAAAAACTGAAGTAAACAAAAAGTATTATTGCTTTTCCACTCCAAATCTTTTTTTCACGTTTACAACAAGTTTAAAACTCCACACTAGTATCAAACTAAGTGAATGCTATGGAGAGTAACAACTGCTCTGCTGTAACCAAACCTAGGGAGTCTTAACTGGTCACCAGCTCAAAGTCCTTTCAACACAGAAATAGACACGAGGTTCACGGCCGTGATACCAGCACACACCACAGACACACTTAACGATTCCTCAGCCACCTACAAGCACACACACCACTGGTGTGAGCTCAGAAATTGTAGCTTTAACCAAGTGTGAGACAGTTTGTGAAGCATTATCCTGCAACTGTGTTAGCAGACACCGATCAGCTGGGTGCTCCTTCACCCGCAGACCCCACAGTGAGGAACAACACTGAGACTCACCAGGCACATAGGATCAGGATCCAGGTTAGGATCTCTGCCAGCAGACAGGTCCAGGGACAAGAAGCTGTGCCAGCTCACTCCATCTGGACTTCACAGATACCCAGAGATCCCAGGCAGTTTTGGCCAGCCCAACTTGAGCTGCACTTAGGGTTCACCAGAGCAGCAACACAGGTTTGGATGTTCAAGCATCCAGCTAACAGTACCCAGACCCAGGGGCTGGAGCTGAAAAAGCATGTCAAGGAATTTGGAGCACAAGGCTTGCAGTCACAAGTGACACAGCTGCTTTCACACACCCCTACAGAGAAGCACTTACAGGCCTTGCCCTGTTTAAGGATTTTTCAGAACACTGAATAACAGCAACAATGAATAAATATGGACTTGAGCTAAACTGACACTTTTTTTAACCCTTTCAGCTTGCCCAGGGGGCCCAGAGACCCCATGCAATAACCACGGCTCCTGTGACGACGGGTACACTGGGACAGGCGAGTGCCACTGCAACAGTGGCTTCAATGGGACTTCATGTGAGCTGTGCTTGCCAGGCAGATACGGATCCAACTGCAAACGTACGTTTAAGTTTCCTTGCCATGCTGTTGCCCACGTCACACCTAAGCTATTTTGTTAGCAATGAGCTAAGTATACCAAGAAATGCTTCCCCCTTTCAAGATCACCTCTTTTCCCTGAGCCCCTCCTCACAGAGAGGGATGGCACAAGGTCTCAGAAGGAAGGAGAAGGCAGCTGTGGGGCAGAAGCTTGATTAGATTTCTCTGCAAGGTTCCTCCTATTCTTATAGGATATATAATTAACATAAAGTGGATACAGAGCCTCTATCAATCAGCAAGTGTTTTCAAGCACAGCACAGTTTTTTTCCCCATCTCCATAAAGGATAAGATAGTATTTTAGCAACGTGGTTCCTCAAGGATTGCAGGAGACCAAGGCCACACGCTACTTTTGTGGAAATGAATTAAAAGGACACCGAGAATAAAGCAGTTTGTGAAGAGGGATAGCAGCAAGAAACTCCTCCCATAATCCATTTTGCTGAGACTTTAAACATAAGCTAGATAGAATGAGGATCAGTATCAAATTTTGAACTGAAAATTTTTTCCAAAATAAAGTCTTCAGACAGGAACACCCCACATATAAAAGGAACAAAAGGAATTCAGAAGCTTTCAGTCATAAAAGTATCTAAAACAAACAAACAAGAAAACTACAGCTAATTTATCCATGTTTTACAGCAAAGGTCACTCACCTCACATTTGGTTTCCTTACTCAGTCAGACCTTCTCCCAGGCAGCAACCAAACAATACATCTTACTCCTCTCTGACTAAAAGGCTTCCCCATAACCAGCAGCTGCTGCACATTAAGACAGGATCAGGCTAGGTCTTCAGCTCAGCCATTAACTCCTTCCCACCACAGTTCTTTGTAAAGTTTGCTACTCTACCGCAATGCAGACCAATACTCGTTTTCATTTTGAGAAGAACATTGAATGAATTTCAATCATAAAATTATAGGATCACAGGTTAGACGGGAACTCAGGAAGTCTCTCGTCCAGCCCTCTGCTCAAGGCAGGGTCAGGTCTGAGTTCAAACAAGGTTGTTTCAGGGTTTATCCTTTGGAGGCCTGCAAACCTCAAAGAATGGAAACTGCCCAGCCACTCTGGATAGTCTGGCCCACTGCTTCGCTGGCCTCATGGTGAAAAGCCATGAGCTTACATTTATTTCAACAATCGCCAAATAATAATGTATCTAAACTGGCAGTCCAGGTGATGTTTCTCCTAGCGTGAAGCCCTCCTGCAGTGGTGAAGCACTGGAACAGGCTGCCCAAGGAGGTGGTGGAGTCACCATCCCTAGAGGTGTTCAAAAAATTTGTGGACATGGTACTTCAGGACACGGTTTAGTGGTCATGGTAGTGTTGGGTTGATGGTTGGACTTGGTGAACTTGGAGGTCTTTTCCAACCTTAATGATTCTACGATTCTCTAGGGAGAAGGCAGCTTTGTAAGTGATCCTTCTGTGTTCGTTTTGCAGCCTGCGAATGCAAGACCAACGGGCAGTGCGATGAAGGATCTTCAGGCACGGGGCGATGTTTCTGTGAAACGGGATGGACTGGCCGGCTGTGTGAAACCAAGCTAGGTCTCTGCCTTCTCTCGCCACACTCCACCACACAGAGACAAGGGTTGATAGCACTTGCAATTTACAGCAGGGAGTTTTTGCAGAGAAGAGGGAGAAAGAAAGGATTAGTAACATCAGAAGCCCCCATTGGAGGCGAAGGAGCTCTGCCCTGGACTCTGGTCATGTCCCTTCACCTCCCTGTCTCCTCCTTTGTGAAGTGGGAATATAAGTGTTTACCTCTCCTGTGGAAAGCCTTTGGGCTACGTGAGGGAAGATATCACCCGAAAGCTAAACAGCCCCAAAAAAATTCTTACCGGTTTTCCAGTTAGCAGTGCTAACATTTTTCCAGTTTCCAGTGAGGGCTTTTTTTTCCGCATGAAACAAGGGCACTGCAATAGAAACAGCACCTTCACCCAGCTGTTCTGCCTTCCCCACAGCTCTGCAGCCAGTGTGCTCTCCGAGCTGCTCCGCCAACGCCGTCTGCACGGAGAACAACACGTGTCAGTGCAAGCCACTGTACAATGGAGATGGGATCACGTGCACGGGTGAGCTCCCTCCTGCACAGCCTGATACAGGAGAGCAGGTTGTCCCCTCTCACATCTTCATTTGCACCCAGTTACCGTTCGCTATGAAAGGTTGCCTAGCAAAGCTAAAATATTCCACAGTGCAGAGTGAAACAAGTTTAGGATATATACAGTTTAGTATTTTTCTGAAACAAATGGCTAGCTTCACCAGGCTAGGCTGAGCAGGAGTGTGAGCAAGAAGTGTGCGCTCCAGACAGGTTTTGGAGACAGCAGGGTTTTCAGCAGCATTTCACTTCCAGGGTTTTCTTTGATGACCTTAGGCAAAGCAGTTCCCCAGTAGCATCACTGCAGAAACAGTCATTCTTTCTGGGCCAGGTGTCTCACATCCCCTGAAGTCATTCTGGCCACAGCAGTACCCAGAAAAGGAGCTCTCTTGGGCCACTGACAGGTGAAGCAGAACCTCTGGGAGGTGGTGCCATGTCTCTTAAATTGAGGATAACCTGACAAGAGCTTCAGAAATCTAAAGGACAGCCTTTGTACAAGCTCAGGAACACCTCAGGAAACGCAAGCATTTTTTTCCTCCAAACTACCATTCTAGTAGTTTTACTGTGCCTTAAAAATCTGGAAGTGTTTTGTCTTTATGAAGAATATCCTCTTTAAAAGCAGACGTCACTCACCCGCTTTCTTTTTCCCCCTGCAGCTGCAGACCTTTGCAAACAGAACAATGGCGGGTGCCACAGAGCAGCCGAATGCACGCAGCTCGGGGTGAAAGTCTTCTGTAGCTGCCAAAAAGGATACAAGGGAGATGGCTTCGCATGCCTTCCAATAAATCCTTGCGCCAACGGGTTCAACGGAGGCTGCCACGAGCATGCCACTTGCACTGTCATAGGACCTGTAAGTTGAACGATTTCCGTCACCAGCAGGGAAGTCTGAGGCACTTCTTCCTGGTGCCAGCAGAAGTCTTTTCTCTGGCTGGACCACACTCCATGCCTCTCAAAGTTCCTGTTTTCCAAAACAACCTTTACATAGCTTCAGCCTACTTTCCACATCGGTTTGGTATCCATTCATCTGAAGGATGAGAAACAGTTTGACATCTTTGCTCTAGAGAAAAGTGTACTGCAGATAGGGATATTTTGTATGCATAATGCCTCTGTCCCTTTCTTAGCTTTCCATAACTAGATATCCCTGTTGGCAATAGGAATTTGTGGGATTGAAAAATAATATATTTTGGTAGCTAAACCTATGGACAGTTGGGAGAATAGTGTCACTTGTTGGTTGGCCAGATTCAGCTTAGAAAACTCTGCAGCCCCATGATACAAATTCCTCGGTCTGCATGCTCAGTGTTGTTGAGGAAAATTTGTGCCAGTGGCTTAATCCAGTAATTGTCCTGGTGCTCTCAGGATCATCTATTCATTGCATTTTGATGGTTTGATGTGTCTTCCAGGTGCTATCTAGAAAAGCCTTGCATCTAATCCATTCCAGCTGCTAAGCATCACAATCCCTGGATGTCACCAGCTCCTACTTGCTTATAGTTCTCAGTTTATGACTATCTAAGTGGGCTGCTAAATTCCTTTCGTGCTCCCACTCCTCCAAATTTCATTTTGATAGGTTTGCCATCCGTTTTTGTTAATCGCATGTCATAATTACGTCACATAATTCTCCAATGCATGTTATTGGTTTTGTGGATGGGATTATGCTTTGGTATTAATTTAGCAAAGCACCCAAGTGCATGTGTAAACGTTTTTCTTAGAAGAATAAATGTTAGTGTCAGAGTTTGCAGTCTGTTGAATCACAGTTGTTAGCAGCAACTTTCCTGTTTGTTCATTCCTGGCTGTATCAAGTGAAATTTTTCCAACAGTTCAGAATGTTGCCTGAAATACCACTTTTATGTCAGCTAAGTATTTGGCTTGGCCTTTTTTATTTCCTCTCTGAGCAGGACAAACGCAAGTGTGAATGTAAAAATAACTACATTGGTGATGGGTTGAACTGCTCCGTGATGCAGCTTCCTCTCGACCGCTGCTTGCAGGACAACGGGCAGTGCCACGCTGACGCCGACTGTGCCGACCTCCACTTCCAAGGTGAGGATAGCACACCATGCACGCCATGGGACAGAGACATCTTCGTTCGTGTGCCACTGCACTGAAGCCAGAGGTCATGATCCTTGTGTCTGTAAGCTTACTCAGTCCTCTACCTATGTCCCCTTGAAACAACAAGAAGATTAAAGCCAGAACACGTGTTTACATGTTTTGTGATATCAGACTTGGGGCATTATAGGTAGGAATGTTACCCCCTAAGGTATCAATCTGTCTTAACTACATTTCACAAAATGCGCCGTTATTTGTCTGGCGCAGTTCACTCTGCATTCAGACATGGCAACCCCTTCAGGAAGAACTAGTTCTTCTCTCTCTCTTTGCAGATACCACAGTTGGGGTTTTCCACTTACGGTCCCCACAAGGACAGTACAAAATGACTTACGAAAAAGCAAAGGAGGCCTGTGCCAATGAGTCCGCCACTGTTGCTACATATAACCAGCTGATGTATGCACAGAAGGTGAGGTAGCATCTCTGCAGTAGGAGATTCCTAGAATGGACTTAGCCACAGCATAAATGGGGAGGGTTATTAGCTGCCCCCCGCTAACAAGCTTCATTTCCCCCCTTTCCTTACCCTATGCCCTAGCGTATGTTTAGTTGGGAGCAATTTTCAGCCTGTTTATTGTTTTCATGCCTGCTCAAACAGCCCTGAAATCAGTTGTTAAGGCCTTGTTTCCAGTGATACTGGGCTGAGATGGTAGAGTCAGATTAACAGACTGTTTTCATGGGGGGATTAATTATCAGCACTTCTGAAAGAAATGTACACTTCAGAATTATGCTTAATTATTTTTTTAAAAAATATATGGCTCCGGGAATCTTTTCCCCAAATGCCGTTAAGTGAACAGACCTATTTCCGTATTCTTTTCCTTCAGTGTGTTACAGTCAATGCATGGCTGATATTAATGGGATGAACAGCACACCTTGGGTTAGTAAAATTTGTTTTAGAAGTGTGGGTCAGAGTGTCTGTGCCTCTGGCTCCTCCCCATCAGCAGAAGGAAGACAGACACCATTTAGAACCACCTTTATCAAAATGTGAGACTGGACCACCGGCAGCACATGCGTCTTCTACTGCTGCAAGAGCAGATTCAGATTGCAGCTGAAGTTGCAAGTCCTCTGTGCCCCATATTGTCAATACTTCCCCCAAAGCAGCAAAGTCTGCGGTGGGGCTAGCTCCAGCGCTCCTCAGGACTTATTTTCTGTGTTAAGCTGGTTTGTCAGCCCTTCCCATCCTGACAAAAGGTGAGCTGGCACACAATAGGATTGCACATCCCCACTGGCTCTCACACCCACTTCTGAGCCTGCCAGGCTTTGGGCTCTGGGAAGCTTTTCACAGGAAAGGCTTCTTTGATCCATAAAAGAAGCCACTGACTTTCAGAGGGCTTCCTCTCTCCAGAGCCCTTATTAAAGAGCTCAGCACAGGGCAGACCACAGGATGGATGGACAGAGCCCTGCCAAACCCTCAGAAGGAGTGCTGGTGGGTTGGGCGCTGCCTGAGTATCCCAGGGGAATTGTTCATTTCATCTGCAGCACCCCAGCCCCGCCACCCAGCTCTTGCCCCTGTGCTTCTTCCCTTATGGCTGTGCTGGCTACAGGCGAGGTACCACCTCTGTGCTGCCGGCTGGCTGGATGGTGAAAGAGTGGGCTACCCAACTGCCTTCTCCTCCCCAAACTGCGGCTCTGGCTACGTAGGCATTGTGGACTATGGGAGAAGAGCCAACCTGAGTGAAACCTGGGATGTTTTCTGCTACAGGGAGAAAGGTAAGAGGGTCCTTTGCTGCATCCTTCCGTGAGAAGGGGAGGAGGAGCCTGGGTTTTTGGTTCCTTTGGTCAGCTACAGGCTACTAGATAACACTGAAAGAGATTCTACCTCTTTCTAACTTTAAAAATCAATAAACATCTTTTGCCTGCAAGTTGTTTTTCAGACACAGGGCAGCCTAAAGTCTCCTAGCAAAAAGCATTTGCCCATGCAGCTGTGTTTGTGCCTTCCAGATGTCAACTGCACCTGCAAGCCAGGCTATGTGGGGGACGGCTTCTCCTGCAGTGGGAACCTGCTGCAAGTGCTGATGTCCTTCCCAACGCTCACAAACTTCTTGTTGGTAGGGCCCACAGCCAGCACACCGCTCGCCCGGGTGAGCGGAGCAAAGCAAGCTCTGCCACCAGGTTGTATCTCAGTCTTTGCTTTATTAGCACCACAAATACAGGTAACAACACACCAGCAAAGCAAAGTGGAGTAGTCTAAGTCTGCACTGTCAAAAATCAGAACTTAGTTACTACCTTTTTCATTACTTGCTCCAAAGATGTTTCAGGTTTCTAAAACTCAGTTGTAAATAAAATGATGCTGCAGCTGTAGCTTAGAGAAGATTCTGTGTACAGCTGCTCCTGGGTTTTGAAGCATCACACAGAATGTAGTGCTTTCTAACTGCACTGAATTGCCACTGAAGAAAGGCAAAACATGAAAAGGGTCCTTTTCTCACCACTACCCAGAAAGGCATTATATGTATAAGTAGTCTCACAGAACAAAGGCCCAACTCCTGCAAGTCAGTTTAAGATGGCGTCATCAAATCAGCAGCTAAAACTGGGTTTGAATACAAACTTTATGTAATGTGACTCCAGCGCTGCTTCATGGCTAATAACATAAAACTCCTTTGTCATTATTTATATGGTCTTATCTTTGTAGCTCCCTGCACAGGAGTGTACAATTCCTCTTTAGTGAAGCTGGATTTTATTTCTGTGTAGGACATCATGGCTTACTCTAACAGCTCGAGGAAGGGGAGAGAGTTTCTGCGGTACCTCACGGACCTGTCAGCGCATGCCACTCTCTTTGCTCCAAATGATAACGGGTTAAAGGAAAATGAGGTCAGGGTTTTGTTTTTTCCTTTTCTCCTTCCTCTTTTTAATAACACTTTTTAAACAGCTATTATGAGTTTCTGTATCAAAGTAAAATGTAAGATTAAAAAAATAATAATCTTGGCATGACATGAATTCCGTGTAACCCCCAGACAGTTTAAACTGTGCTTCTGGAAGAGGTGAGTTCATAGTTTGCTTTTTTTTTTCCCCCCATAGTTAGAAGTATAAGGTTATCATGTGTTCAAGTAATTAAAAAGACTCTTCCATCAGGCATTTTAGTTACCCAGTTATAAAGGACTCTGTCTGGCATGAAGCCTTCTCTGACTTACTAACATCAAGCACAATCATTTGAAGAAAGCAGTGCACAGCTTTGTTTTCCCCCACAAATACATTAAAGGCATCTGTCCCTAGCTTCATTTCTGTGCTTATCCCTCCCACCCTTCCTTCCAACATGGTCTCAAATAATTCACATAGGTTTATGCCCTGGCTTGCATCTTCAAGCTGTTCAGAATATCACTGAGGCTCATCACTTCAGGTCATCATACAAAAGAGTAATATGCTGTATCCCACTAGAACCAAGGTACTGCCTGCTGCAGGCAGCTCTCAGAGGTCAAGAGGGACAGAAGATCACACTGCACACATCTAGATTTCCCAATAGCCTCTGCCTCATATGGCACTTGCTGCAGCATTAATAGCAAAAAGTGGGGCAAGGTCACAGGCATTTAGTCTACTAATAAATCCAGAGGATTACTGAGATCAGTTGTTAACATTCCTTGTATTTCACTCTCATTTGCAGACACTTTCTGGGCGAGACATTGAGTATCATGTATCCAACGCCAGCATAGTGTTTTATGAAGACTTGACTAATGGAACCACTCTTCTAACTCGTCTAGGGGAAAAACTCCTCATTACAAACACCAGGGACCAGGATCCTCAAACCCCCATAGCTGAACAGGTACCTTTTTTAATAAATCTCCCATCTTTGTGCTTTTCCCCCACTTTATGACTTCAGAAGGCTCTCGCCTGCCCAGAGATTGCAGGATAGCAGCTGGTAAACTGAACATTTACACATCTGTAAGTGACCAGGCTCTAACACACCGAAGTGAGTAAACTATTCAGGCAGCCTGCAGGAACAGCAGGATGGGGATATGGTTTTGACTGAACCCTTCTCTCAGTTTGATAGGATTATGGGAGACAGCAGTGTGATAGAAGGAGGGATGAGAAGAGCAGTTTACCATTAAATGAAGGTGTGAGTATTTGTAAAGTTTCTTGGCAACTCTCTGGGAGAGGCAGGAGATGCCTGCACAGCCTTGCTCAGAGCAAAAGCAGATAAAACAGTGGTTTGCATTTTTTATTACTATTTCAGTGGTTTTTAAATACAAGAATTTATAGCCTTTTTGCAAGTGGAAAGTATCCTGTGACGTTTTAGGGGACCACATTCTTTGAAAAGACACCCAACTTCTTTCTTTTTAATGAAGAAATTACTCAGTGCACATGTACTTCAAATGACCTCTGTGACAGAAAACTCATGAGACTAAGGTTGGAACTCTGCTGTGGATGATGCTGTATAGCTGGATTTGAAAATAAGAAACACTGCATCTGTGGGCTTGTAGTTAAAACGTGCTCTACAAAATGGCACTGGGCACAAGGAAAATTGAGTGTCCAACATACCAGCAGTGGGAGGGAATTTCATGGACACCCACATGAAGAAAATAGGTGCTGTAGAAAGAGGTGCACAAATAACTCATCTGTCGGTTTTGCTTCCTTCATTCTCCTCTTTCAGGAGAAACCCCTCTAGCATAAAAAAATATAAATGGCAACTTTCATAACCGCCCTATAATGCAGGCCCAGTAATCACATTAATAAAGTATACCCTTGTGAGAGAGCGGGTGCACTAACAGAAGGCTTACCTGTGTCACTCATTAGCATGCAAGCAGCTCTTTTGGATCACTTTGATCTGATGAGTTAAAAGATGTTCTCCTTAAAGTCCTCCATTCTTCAAAAGCTGCCAAAAGGAGGCTGTGAGCCCATTAACAAACAAATCTTGTTCCCGCCCTTCAAAGCTAGTTGGAAATTTGTAGCTTTTCTTCCTTCCTGGAGAACCCAAGTAAGCCCTTCATTCCCCCAGCTGCAGTAAAGCTCAGCAGTGTGCCAGTGTGGGAAGGAGAGGTGGCAGCTGCTTTCCACCTATGCTCCAAGCAGCCAAGCACCCACCTCTCTCAGCACACCAGGTCATAAACCTCAAGCTTTTCCTCAGGACCCCGGCAGGGCAGCACAGGGATGAGGGAAAGGGAGAAGGACACAAGGCAACTCCCACATCACTCTGCAGGGGCACCATGCCTGAGCCCCTTCCTCTGTGGGCACAGAAACCATTTTGCTAGGATGCAATTTAAGCAGTTTGCAATAACACAGATGCCCATGAGCCCATGCTCTGCAGACACAGACCCAGGCTGCAGAAGCTGAGGACTAGCCCAAAGCAGTCAAGGACTCCTGTTATCAGCAAAATTTAGAGAGATGTCAGCACAGCAAGGACTGATTCCATACTTCTCCCTTCCTGATAAGCTGCCAAATGGGGTCACCTTCCAGCTTCTAGATGCTAGGCCATCAAACTAACTGTGGGCAGCATCTTCCCAGCAGTGCTGACCAAGCTTTCTGGAGCCATCAAGCTCAGCACAGGTGGCACTCCCTCATCACAGAAAGCAGCTGTAATGGAGTCAGGCTGGAGGCTGCCTGCAACTCAGGAATAACACCACTACTAGACAGAGCTCAGCAGTTGTACAAACATCACAAAAAAAAAAAAAAAAAATTAGAAAGAATTGCCTGAAGGCTATACATACATAACGATGACAGCTACTTCATGCACAGGAGAGCCATGACCAGCCTGGAGCCACCCTAGACTGAGGCACAGGTATAAAACCCCATGTGATTCTTCTGTGTGTCAATAACTGAGATAGGGGAAGAGGCTTGAGGTTTATTTCAGTCCCAAAGGGAACAGGGTCAAAGTTCAGCCCTCATTGCTCCTTCTCCTGGCAGAGCGACATCAGATATGTGGATGGAAGTCCTATTGTTGAGTGGGATATAATTGCTTCCAATGGGATAATCCATGTCATTTCAGAACCTTTAAAAGCTCCACCAGCACATGTAAGTACATAGCAGTGACTTTTCCTTTTTTTTGGGGGGGGGAGGGGAGGGGGGCGAGAGTGTTGGTGGGAGGTGGCTGTGCGTTATATCAGCCCAAACTCATTACTGGCAGCCATATGTATGCAGCTTCAGTTAAAAAGCTTACTTTGAAAGAAAATCAGAAGTTGAGAACCAAGTGCCAACGAAGGTTGTTCAAAATGTTTGTCTGAACAAGTTCTGCTCATTTATTTTATGCAAATAAAATAAAAGCTCCATTTCAAAATGGCACTCATTTTTGTAACTGAGGTTTTATGAAGCTCCATTTCAATTCTTCCCAAAAGATCTTTCAAGCTTCTAAGGAACTGGTGTTTTTTGGTTGGTTGGTTGGTTGGGTTTTTTGTTGGTTTGGTTTTGTTTGGTTTTTTGTTTGGTTTCCCCCCCCCCCCCCTCGCCCCCCCCCCCCCCCCTTAGCTTTGCATTCATTCCTACCCAAAACAACAGACATTGAGAAGTTTTTTGTTTGTTGGTTGGGTTTTTTTGCCTGCATGAATCCTTGCAATGATCCCCGTTATCTAATTCTCTCCCATTAGAAAGGCCAAACCAAACTGTGCATGGCAAAGCAGCACAGTCCAGAAAGGGATGCTGTCCTTTCCCCAGAGGGAGTTTGAGTTAGTAGATGCAGTGCTTCAAGCTGGAATCAAAACAGCACAGGGCCCAGCAGCAGGGAGGCAGAACATTGTTCCACTTATTTCTCACCAGCAAAGTTTACTGCTTTGTATGAAAGGGAAGAAAAATATTTTGCCCACCTGCAGTACAGCTGGGATATCCGTTTCACCCTGCTGCCCAGGTGAGGGGTGTGCAGTAAACCCCTTTTTTTCCCAGTACAAAATGTTTTCCTTAACAAAGTTACCTGTTTAGATGTGCAGAGTTAGTGGCAAAATGACCTGCGGAAGGCAGGCTGGTGGAGCCCAGCCCTGTATGTCCTCTGCACAGGCTGGCCAGTCCCTCTAACCAGCAATGAGATGAGCCTTGGCTCAGATGTGTCTTGTTTTGAGCCCTGGTAAAGAGGGTTCAGGGGATGGGAGGGTTGCTGATAGGTGGTAATAACCAACACCTCCCCAGTGCACAAAGCAATGAGGAATAAACTTCAACTCATGCAGCGCCCTCTAAGGTTGGTAGCACAGGTTTCCAAAGCTGCTTGAGGGAATTTCTACTCCTCTGGCCAGTGAGGTTGCAGCTACATTACAGCTTCTATTGCTACTTTGAAAAACCTGACCAGAAAAGATCACTTAGACATGTTCTGTAACTTCAAAAACATAAAAATGATGAAGCTGTACTATACATTAGGTACAGTACCCCAAAAAAAACTCTTTAAAAAAATATAGCTTGCAATTGCTATCAAAGGCCACACTTAACTGTCTCAGAGGAACAAATACCAGGAAATCCAAGCACAAAAGCAGTTCAGGACCAGGGCATATCTCAAAGGGACACTGTGTGCTCAGGTACTGGAAGGTGACAAGCACTCACCTGTAGCTCAGTCACCCTCTCTCTTGCTTCCAGGCTCCTCTCCACACCGGTACCAGGACAGGAATATTCTTTGGCATCTGCCTGGTTACTGGAATCGTGGCTTTTATCGGATATTCTTACCTCAGGTTCAGGAGGAGGAACACGGGCTTCCAGCACTTCCAGGTAGGTGGCAGACAGGAAGGCGAAGCAGGGGGCAGCACTTCCCCAGACCCACCGCACCACCCAAACCCGGCCTCCAGTTGCTCCTTGAATTCCATTCAGCTAGAAACACTCCCCACCGCTTCCTGCTTGAACTGTTCACACTAACACAGAGAAAGTGGCGCAGGCCCACACACTTGTCTTGGGCACGAGCTTATATTTGCCTCCTGCTCCCCCAGACCTCTCGGTAGGCTCCTGCTCTCACAGGCCCTTCAACACTAAGGACTGGCCAAAAGCTTATTTAACTACAGAGCACCAGTGCAGAAGGCTTTGCCTCCCCAGAAAGCTCACCCTTAGGGAAGGCAGGTAATTACAACCACTGAACGGCCACTTGTTCTCTTCACCTTCCTCCATGGCATTGCTGATGATTTTGCTACTCTGGAGGCTGAAACATTTGATAAGAAAAAGGCTGGACTCAAAAGACAAGCAAATTGAAATGATTGCAGGATGGAAAAGTGCAAATTTTTATACTGATACACTCTCATGCTTGATTTCTCTTAACTAATTTTGCTAGCCTCATTGCAATATTATCATGACGATGCAAAACCAGACAGCAATAGCCAAGCTACTCAGAGATGAGGAATGGCCAAAAAAAAAGTTACAAAATACACACAAATCCATCCAAATAAAAGTTTACCTAGAAGTAACCAGAAATCCCTTCCTATTCTATTCCCTGCATGTAATGTGAGTCATCTTCTAGAAACAAGACTCAGGAGCTATGAGCCAGGGCTCACTTGTCTTTTTATATAGTTGCAACAAGAGCACTCAGGACCAGCCAGGTACCTTTTACCCCAGGCACCACATCAGGGCAACACTGCCTCTCTTGATCTTCACTGCAGCTCAAAAAAAAAGGGAGAGAAAAAAGAAAAAGATACCAGTGTTAAGTGACCTGAGATAATACACGAACTCAGGACACAGTTCATGCCCAGAGACATGGATTTAGATGATAAGGCCAGTTCAGTCACCACACTGCACCAGCTGGTAGTGAAGCTGAAGTGCCCCTCCTGCAGTGTCCCACTGTAGGAGGAGGACAGATTTTAAGGTTTGTGTGATTTTTGTGTAGACAAAAGATGACACTGACGTAACATCCCTGGACAAGTCACAGCCTGCAAATATCACCAACCCTTCATATGAAAGTTCTTCTGCACTGACTCCACCAGAACCTACATATGATCTTTTCTCAGTAAGTGTTAATTTTGTTTTCGTATTGAGACATTACTAAAATAATGGGAAGAGGGAATCACTATGAAAATCTCTACCTGGAAAAAAAAAAATATTAATTTGGGAAAATATCATTCAAGTTCTTGGTTTTCCTTTCTTACCACTGCTAGAAACTCTGCAGCCCCATTTGTAGCAACATTGAGGCTGTGGTCTACAGCTGTGTCTCATGCCTACATCCAAAGACAGCTGAATTAAATTTGACTGCAAGTGCTACTGGATGGCAGGGACATGTCTATACAAACTTAAAAAGCCTTCCAATCCTGTCTTCCCTACTCCTTGCTGAACATGCAGCGAAGTGCCATGCCAGCACTCCAAAGAATCTGAAATGCAACAGGAAGGGGGCTTGGAATCAAGAGAAGGAAAGATTGAGTAAAGCCAGAGTACCTGAATAGCTTCAATAGTCTAATTTAGCAAAACCCTCATGTTCATGCAGAGTCTAAAAATCAACATAAACCTTTTTGCATTCAGTAAAAAGACTTGACTGTTGCAGAAATGTCAGGTATGAACTCTGCCATCCATATGGACATATTTGCCAAAAAGTTACTTTCATTTCTTAATGCAATGTTCAAGCCTGATTTTTTTCCTCTATTTTATAGGATTCAGATGACCAGCAGCTTGTGATGAGTGGTCCTCATGATCAGAATTAAAGACTGAGTCTGTCATTATTCAAGTATAAAATACATTTCTATTCACACTTGCTGTGAAAAGACTGCACCTACACATTTCAGGGAATAAAGTCTCATTACAAATAAAAAGAGTATACCTTTGTTTAAGATGTTGTCTATGGAGTTCACAGAGCTATCAACCTCACAAGTGTTGGCTGTATGTGAGCAGTACCACCTAAGAGCACAACAAATGCAAAATTGTGTCTCAACTAACCTTCCCAGAAACAGGCACCTCTGTGAAAAGTTGACTTCCACTTACTTACTATTTAACTGCTCCTGTTCTTCTCCACAGCCTTTAAAATGGCCCCAGACATACAGGGCTGCTAACTTGGCAAATATCCTCAAATTGCTAGTACTCCAGCTCTATGCTTTCATTTTGGCCCAGTTACAGCTACAACTGGCAAATGTGAAACAGAACATGTTATCTGGGATTTTTCTTGCAAGAATGTCAAGCAGCAGGGAATAGAACTATTCTGTCTGCCCCGTTTGCCACCTCCAGCTTTTCTGTCTTTCCTCAAACTTGATTGTGTTTTGTTTACATTTCACCTCACTGTACAAAGGGAAATAGTAATTGTAGCACCTTTAGCAAGAAACACAGGTGATATGAGAGCATTCAAATAGTGTTCAATTTTTATTTGAACCATTTTTGTGAAAAGTAGACAATGAAGATAAATAGACCCTTGCCATGTCATGTCCACGTTTTTACCTCTGAACAGAAGCTTGTTCACATACTGTATTTTTACCAAGCTTGTTAACACTGCCTTCCAACTGATGCACAGCAATAATAGGTGTGATTTTCGCCATACTATTAAGAAGTAAATAAAATTTCAATTTGGTTTGCTATCAGTTTCTTCCCTTGAAACATCAATACCATAGCAAACTGTTAGAACACTATAGAAACCACAAAATAGCAAGAAAAGGAAGATTTTCTTGCTAGCAGCAGTGGCATTCCCCCAGGATATCCTTCCTGGTGTCCATGACACGTGGGAAATAGGAGAGAAGGTATCACTCCAGCAAGTATTAGTTACCCATGAGAGCAACCCCCAGATGCCTCCCACCAGAACAAGGTATGCAGGCAAATCCGGGGTTGATGAGACAGATATCAAGTACAACCAAGGGAATGTAATGTGGAGATTACCTCAGTCTGTTTCATCCAGGCATACTTCCCCAACTCCTTCCCTTGCCCCCCACACGGCTCTGCTTGTTTTTACCTATAAGATACTAAAGAATTTAGAACACACACACATACACGCTATGGGGTGTTTTCCCCACAGTTTTGCAGTTAATACAACTCATGTTCTTTCCCTCTCCCCAGTCACTCAAAATATTAAGGCTCATAAGGACCAGAAGATAAGAGTCCAAGGATTTATTTTTGTCATAATATTTAAATGTTTTTATCACAAAAGAAGTTCCACAGTTCATTAAACTCTTTTACTTATTCTCCTCCGTGTTTCTGATAGAACAGAATGAAAATTTCTTCTTGCTTCGATGTTCAAATGAATTTTACTCCCAAAATGAATATAAAGAGACACTGCCCTTTAAACATGCTCAAAAATCTCTTTGAAGTCAGTAACTTACTTAAACAAGGTTAAAATAAGTAATGCAGAGAGTGCCAAGGTGAAGTCATTACAAAAATGCAAGACATTTTTAAAAGTTAAAGAAGAGCATATTAGCACTAAAAAATAAATAATAGACTTTAAAATTCTCACTTAAACTCATATCATATATCATTGGTTTGTTTTAAAAGAACATAATCCTCCTGTAACTTTTCATGCAGTGTTGTTTATTTCAAAAAGTCATGCAATATAAACAAGGTTTTACTTCAGCTGGCTGTTGCAACATAGCTTTGTACAGCAGTTTAATTTATAAGTTGAGAGACAGGAAGGAGGAGAGGAGAAAATCATCTTGAAACAAAATGTGTATATGGATGACATCACCCAACCCAATTAAATTGTTCCTGCTTAACACAGGAAAACCAGGCAAACAAACTGACTCCTAGCCAGTTTTAAAAGAATAAACTTCACAGAGCTATAACCAACAAAGTATTATCGGATGCAGTAATGCAGAACTGAATAACACAGCGTTACCATTTGCTGGTAGTAAGATGGACAACGTACAGTGGTTTGGGTTCGTTTCCTTTAAACAGTGCATTGAAATCTTGGAGCATGAGAAATGCTACCCACATGTAACACCAATTTCGGTTCTAGCTGAGCATTAGGATAAAAGAACTGAAGGCAAATTGGGAATATTTCCATCCTCATATTTCATTATCAAGTTATGCTAAATATTTCTCACACAGTCCCACCAAGTCTCGTGATAAAGCCAAACTAACTTCCTGCAAAACTTTATCTTTCTCCTCCAGCAGACCAGCAGGACTGTCAGATTAATTTACCCATTTCAAGTATATTCGTTTGTTTAAATACAGACACTCAGACTTCAGGTGTGTTTCATGTCAAGTTTGAAACAGGAACACAAGAAAACCATGAACACAAAATCTATAACCACACCTGAAGACTTCAGACTGATTTCAAGCACACAGGAAAATTACTTACAAACTTGTGGAGGTTAGGTTAGAGCACGTATTCTATATTTTGCAAACACACTTTTAAAAACATTAAAGATACCGCATATGAAATCCAATATAGGTACTTGCACGTAATACAGACAGGTTAGAAATAAAAGAAATAAAACTTTTGGTCATCAAAAGTTTAGCTGACAATCATGGTAGGAAGCAAAAGATATCCCAAAATGAAGTGAATAATACCAAATGCTATGTATTTTGTTAATTATATGCTTTTAAAAACAGAGCCTTTAACTAAAATTTGAAAAGCATTAAATCATATTATGCCTTCTAAAATGTCTGGGATGGGAAGCACCAGTTAAAAAAAAAAAAAGTTGCATTTGGATGCAGAGAAAGGAAAGCATCCTTGCTGAAAAACATCTACATAGCAGAGCTCTATAAAGTGCCTGTTTGAGGAAACACATCTACAAATGTTTTCCTTGTGCAAAATAGACATTTTTTTTTCTGCTCAGATCTTTGGAATATATATGCTGCCCAGAGTTTGTGCTCATACATTACCTGCAATTTCAGGAATTCAATAAAACTTCTAATCTGCACCACTAACATTTTCTTCACTTGATGCAAGCTGTTGACTAGCCCCAGCTCAGCTTTCAGGGCTCGAGCTAAAAAAGTATTATCGGAAAACTCTGGTTTTCATGTTCTCATTTCTTAATTATTCTTGTAACTCATTTGCCCATTGTGCGTGTTTACTTTTGACCGCAGAAGTCCGTTACTGAAGGCTATATGAAATACATTCTCTCCTAGGGAACAGCAAAACTACACTGCATACAACTGTAAGACACTTAATTTTTAAAAGCAGCATTTAAGATCAACTTAAAGCCTGACAGAGATCTGTCTCCACTTGGAAATGCAAAATGTAAGACCCCTTGAAATGGCTTTATTATTAGAGAGTGGATATTTAAGGTGTTTTGAAACTTAAAAAAGAAAGGTGTCTGAAAGCTAACAAAAGGAAGCTGAAGCAGCCCAAATTACTGTCTTCTTCAGTTTTAGGCTTAGGTCCACCTACAGCCAAGCACAGACATTGGAAGAACAGACACTGCACAGAGAGGAGTAGGAGCCCAGCAGCACAGCAGTGCCTCGCCGACACCTCGGCAGTTACCTTGGGTACAGGTCAGGCTCCAGCCATGGCAGCAAGGAAATTAGAATGCCTACACCACCCTTCACAGTCTCACCATGAACCACCCACTAACCGTGTACTACTGATTCACTAATACTGGCTTGAAGTTTTTCAGTGCCAAGATCCACTACAGGCTCCATCTGGAGCGCTGAATGTGGCCAGAGCAGAAAGTACAAGTATTTCTTTGTAAGCCACGAGGCTGCAGATCAAAATTTCCAATAATCAAACAAAAGCAACCACCCCAGAACACCACCAGTCCTCCTCAAATGTGCTCTCCCTCCCAGTTCATTGCTATTTTGGCAGTCCATCACTTCTTCTGTCTATAAGAGGAGTTTTCACATCTCCAAGCAGGAAAGGAGAAAATGGGTACAATGCTTACGAGAACAAATATGAATTATAGCTAAATTAAAATAACAGATTTAAGTGACTTAAATAAAATACTTTTTTTTCTTGAACGTATATTTGCCCATTTAGCTGCCAAGTGCTTATTTGATCTGAACTGTCTCTTGTAGGAAAGGTATTCTGAATGTACCAGTGCATAGCTGGTCTGACCAGCCAGGAAGTTCATGCTGCAAAGGAGTCCTCCTTGGATAAAACGTGTAATCAGGATCATAGTTCAAGAGACAACTCAGTGATGCCATGTAGATATCCGCAAATCTAGAGAGGCGCCTTAGGAAATAAGTTGGATTCTCATCAGTTCTGAATAAGCTTCCAAACTGTGCATTGAAGAAATTCCTGTTCATCTCCCTGTCCCCCCAAAAAAAAAAGAAAATCAAGAAAATGAAGTGTACTTGCATACATCTCTTTACCCACTAGCATCCAGAACCTGAAGCAAGCAATTCCTATAATCTGTCCCATGCATTATTGTCTTGCCATTGCACCTCAAAAAGCTTAAATGGGCCACAAATTCTTGCACCTCTTGCACATATGTAGCCCAGATCTAGCAATCACAGTAGTGAACAGAAGAGCCTCATACCTCTCCTGCTAAAATCAGCTATAAATTGTTCCTGACTTCAGAAACGTGACATCACACTCTCTAGAAAGGAAAGCTTGAGAAAGAAGACTTTTCCCTTCATCTAAATCCTAATGACATCCACTTGTCCGAAAGATAAAAGACTTTTTCAAAAGTGAAAAGATTTTGCTAGATGTACATAAAAAGCTTAAACACATCTTGAAATTAACTTCTGTTATTACTCACTGTCAAATACCAAGTATCATTCCCATTTCATTTACTTCCATATCTGGGGAAGGCTGCTGGTGGTACAGCTGCTGGCCTTACCAACTGTGCACTTCACATACCCTGCATTTAGTGATAGCTCCTTCGTGATAGTAGATTTTTAGCAGTATTAGCCCTACTACCTATCTGTGTGATGAGTCCACTGCTGAGTCAGTTTCTGCATATTTTAAAATGGTTTGTACATAATCTGAAGAAATCATCTAAAAAAATTGATTAAGTCACTTAAGTCTTGATACAGAAACACATTTTTAGATCATGCAGAAGCTGTGTAATCAATAGCAACAGTGACAGCTGAAAATAGAGGGACAAGAGAACTGAGATAAGAAGCAGACATACTTGATACGATGTTACCCTTTCATCTAACATCCGTTCCAAAGAAGGGGAACTAAGAAAAGGGGTTCATATGAATGAAGGGTCAGGAGGTGTCAGGCAGAATATTGTTTTACACAGCTAATTTTAGAAGATCTGTAACTACCAGGGAACAGAAATCAGGAACGGAGAGAAGTTCTGAAAAAAACTGTGGAAGACATCACATATAATACTTGGCTACCATGAAGCATATAGCAAACTCTTCATCTCCTGTGTCTTACCTCATTACTTTCCTTTCCTTCTTCCATTCTTCTAAAATCATTTGTGAATCAGGATCACGGTGAACCTGGAATGTAAAGAATGGATAACAGGTAATCTAAGGATGCCCTTGCAAATAAGCCTTTCCATTAATAAACCCCTATCAGCCAACAGGACAAGAGTAATGCTTCAAAGTATACAGAACTTATCCACATACATTTTAAACAACCAAAACCAGGAATCGATCAAGGCTGGATTCCAGCGGAGGAAGGGGACAAGATTTTAAGAAAAATCTCAGGAATTTGCCACACAAAAAACTGCATTTATTTATCTACAGTCAAATTGGTGAACTTTAATGAGACAGAAAGCACTTGCAATGTCAATGTCCAGCATTTAGAAACTTGTCTGGATCCCTTCTGCTGTACAGAGCCGATTACACACACACAGAACAAACCTGCATATGCTCCAGTAATCCTGTCAAGGTTTGCAGCCAGGTCATGGTTTGAATGTACTTCTCTGTGTTCATGATTTTAATCTCTGATCGCAGCTCTGGAATAATTGCACCAGTGCGCCAGCCATGCTTCAGGGTCAAATCCTATTCACCAAGAATTACAAAATACAAGTATTAGTCTTAAGAACAACTACTTAAAAGAACTGAACTATTTGACCACTGTTTACACCAAAGAGGAACTAATTTAATTGCTTCTTATGTATGAAGCAGAAATACTGAACAGAGGACTTAACTGTGCCACTACGCAACAGAATTTCAGAGTAAGCTTCAAAGCCCCCATTTCTAAAGAGTGATAAAGAACACATAAGCACTTGCAATTAAGCACCAATTCATTAGGTTTAAAACAAGCAGCAGGAAATTCCTCTTGTAGGCGAGAGAGACCTCTGCTGCTATCACAAGTATCTGGAAGAAACCATGTGTTGGATTTGTGGTGTTTACCCATACATTCAGCTGACAAAAAGGTCCTGTAGGGACCCCAGCTAATCAAGCTCTTCCTGACAAGCACAGGATGAGGTAGCTGCTGCCTGTGCTCTCTCATCTATTCTGCCAGAGAAGAGCAGAATGGCACCCTCCTTCCTTTGGTTCCCAGTCTTCTGAAGCACCAAAATTACTTTTCTTTTTAAAAGCAGATTGGGGCAAAAATGTTTGCACCCCTGCATTCAGTTCTTATTACACTTGGTAATAAAGGTCATCAAAATCAGCCACATCCTGTATGTCTGGATATCTGTGTTTACTCTGTTACAACTGACACAATCAGCGTCTGGATCAAGAATACAAGCTCACACAGCACAGTTTGTAAACAAGCTAAGTCAGGTGGAAAATATGGCTGGCTTTTTACAGCATCAGTTTTCAGCACTGCAAGAAAAGCAATATGGCTTCACTACCAACTCAAGATTTGTTGTATTTAGAAACCTCAAATGAAAGTGTGTTATACTGAATAACTACAGAGGAAGAGAGGAGGACTAACAAAAAGCCTTGTCTTTTTTCTTATTTTGTAAAAGTAAATTACTTACTGCCAAGTCACTGTAAATGTGATCGCCGAAGTAGAGAACCTTGGAGCCCCTCCATCCAGTAAGCTTCAGAAATTCATACAAGTTGCCCTGGGGAAAAACAACACATCCATTGTAGTGGCCAGCAGCCTGCACCTTCACAGGCATGAGAAAGGAATTTAGTGCACCCTTAAAAATATTTTCATATCAAGTATAGTGTCCTCAGTTTACAGGTCATGAATCCCAAACAGGTGATTTACAGGTGATTTCAGTAATGCTACCACTTCAAGAGGCTAGTTAACTGCAGACATTCAAAACCAACAATGAACTTGCACTGTTTCAATCACTAAAATAACTCTTAAAGAACATAGCTACTTTTTAGAATCATTTATGATATCTACAGAAGCATGGGATTTTAGGAAATAGGTATTCAATTTGAACTGAAAGTTTATGGAAAGCATACCTGTTTGTAAATCTGACCTTTCTGCAGCTTGTGGATTTTGTCCCATAGCAATACTCCCCTTTCATTCACCTTCCGAAACGGTCTAGAATAGAATTATATACAATTGCTACATTGCTGTAGAAATTCTTTCACTTTTTAGAAGGAGATTTACGTTTTAATATCAAAAGGATTCATCTTCCAAAAGGAAAACATGCTCTCTAACATCTGTACCTTTTGTAATAGACAGAAAAAGCAAACCTCCACAACTTCTGCTTTAGCCAGTGAAATGCAATGTATCTATCCAGTACCCCTATAACATTTATAACAGACTTTGAGGACAACTGAGAATTACGTCAGGGATTCCAGACAAAGAAACAGTGTGAACTGTCTGCTATTAAGGATAGAACACAGAAAAAGTGAAGATGCGTAAAAATCTTGCCAAATATCTCATTTTGTACAACTGAAAAACTAAAGAAGATGAGGGCATTGGACTGAGGACAAGATATACAGCAAAGTTTTTTAAAATTAAATGGAAAAAAAAGGGGAAAAGTCCCTATCTCCCTCTATCTCACTTTCAAATCATACGTACATGTAAAGGAATAGGTCTTTTTCAAGCGTAAATGTCATGCATATGCATTACAAATGTGCTTAACTGAACAACTAATCCAAATACTGCAGTCTGTCAGGCAGTCTTCCCTTTAAATACATGTGACTAAACCAGAAGCAACGAAAAAGACATTTCCAGATAAGGGGCTGATACTGAAAGGCACCAAAATTTCTCACGTATATTAGAAAAGGAACACACTTGAATTTACAAGCTAAGATGTTAAAAACAACCTCTGTGACCTTAACTCAATCCAGCAGACTTGTAATAGCTACTGGAACTTTCTTTGGTAAGAAATGATAAATATACAGACTTCAGAATTGGATGTTGTTGCATTCTGTAATGACCTTAAAAAAGATTTCAAATACCATTTAATTTTACATTGCATCCCAATTAAAGTACTTCATAACACACTCTATAGCCCCATATGAAAAAAAAAGCTGCTTGAATCATTCTTACTAAACACCCACCTTCGCTTATCATTGAAAAAGTTTGGCTTATCAGCCTGTACAATGACCACATCAAAGAGATCCCTCCAGTCTTTGCCAACTATGAACTTCATGCCTTTGTCCCTAAAAAGGACAGAGGGATATTAACAGCGAAGCAGAACACAAGTGCAGTTATCTAGGCAACATAAAGAATGACATTCAAGAACTTCATCTTCCCCATCCTTTAAAAATACATAGTTGAATAACAAACAAGTGTTCACTTACACAAAGCTGCTGGGACTATTTGTGATGAGAAACATCTTCTTGCCATGATCAGCCAGCTTTGCCAACACCGCACGAGTTTGTTCGGCATAGCAGATGTATTTCTCTGTGAGAATTGGGGAAAATACAATATTAACTGAAAAAGTTTTTAATGAGAATTTTCTCTGGATTCAACCAAGGGTTCAGAACATGAGGTTATACTTACTTAGGAAGGGCACCTCAGACAGGTAGAAATAACTTTTTCAAGCTTTAAAATTTGGAACTTGTAAAAAAAGAACACACAGTTTGACAGATGATCCCATTAGTACTTACCAATATCTGCTTCAATTGCTCTGTACATTATTCCTTTGATGTGGACATCCCTGATTGAATCCTGTCGGGAAAGCAAAAGCGCACCAAAGAACTGAGAAATCTTTTCAAGTATAAAAACTGTGCTCATTGCATAGCAGTAGTAATTTTTTTTTTTTAGAACAATTCCTTTCTTTGAAGTACACTTTCAACTTTACAGATGGGATGTTCATTTTATATATATGTCTATATGTCACCACTACACAGAGTAAGCCTGTCCTCCAAGAAATGAACTTCATACTTTAAGGAGGTACAAAACTGTATAGCACAAGGGTTGTTTTACATAACGACCGTAAAAGGGTGAAGTGGGGTAAAAACTCTCTGCAAAAGCAGTCATCACAGGTTTCCAATGACCTTTGGAGCAGAACACATTCCTTTCCTCTTGGGGGAAAAAAAAAGTTTTAAGTCAGACATTTTAGATTATGATCACTCACAAATACCATGGTTATTTAAAAGAAGAAATTTATGAGCAGATGAAAGAAGCTAAATGCTTAAGCAAAGTACTCATAAGGCGCTCTGAAGGCATTTTGGCAGCTCCCCTGAGCCAGCTTTGTACCAGACAGCTTTGTTTAGGACAGTGTTAGTGCCATTTTAGTAGTTACATGGGATATGTCCTAAAAATTCTCAAAAAGTGCCACTATAAGGCTTCCAAATGTTGGTAATATTGAGCAGGACAGAAGTTCGTAGAAATACTTCAGCAGAAGACAGAAGAACTAGCCTTCTGACTCTTACGTAACCACAGGCAGACAGGAAAATTATTCTGGAAGTCAAAAGTTTCCTAAAACGCATGTAGAGGTTTCCCTAAATCTTCCAAGCTATTACCTTGACATCTTTGTACAGATGAACAGGCTCATAGTCTATGTTGTTTTTCAGAAAATATTCATTCACACAAGAAAGGAGTGTCATTTCTGGCAAGGAAAATATATCCATGAATTGCTTCATTGTATTTCCTTGTGAGCTCTAGAGGGATGGAAAGGGAAAAAAAAAAAAAAAGCTCAGGCATTTCTCAGATTAGAACACTTTCATCCATTCCATATAAACACCTCAGCCCAGTTGCAGTCATTCAGTTTTTGCCATTACTGTTCACATTGCTTTAGATTCTTTTTGAACTAACAGACCCTAATAAAATCACTCCAACAGAAGTGCTGGCTTTATTTTAAGAATTAATCGTGACTCATTACTCTTAAGAGCACTATTTTAATTAACAAACTTGTAAAAAACAGACCTCAGCTAAAATAAACGTCATGAGAAGAACTTAGAGGTCTTCGCTGAAAGTCTGCACTTCTATAAATAAGAGGCACCAGGTATAGGGGTTGGGGGTGTTTGTTATTTTTGGGGTCATTTAGGGTTTTGGTGGTTGTTGTTTTGTTTAGGGTTTTATGTTTGTTTTTTTAATAAGTGGAATACTAATTAGGACTGCAAAACATTTTACCTCCTTGAAAAGAGATAATGAAAAGCCATAAGAATCTACAATAACATTTAGTAACAATGTTAAGAGGACAATGTTAAGGTGAAGAGCTTTCTAGTCTGCAAAAGCTGTAACTATAGTTTAGTTTCACAAAAGTAGAGAATCTCATTATACAAGAGCAAATAAAATCAAATAATTCTCAAGAAGAAAGCTAAAGCAACCAGCTCAGGACAGCACGCTGGTCAAGATCACAGCAGCACAGAACGGTTGAGGTTGGAAGGGGCCTCTGAAGGTCATCTTGTCCAACCCACCTACTCAAGCAGGACCACCTAAAGCCAATTGCCCAGGACCTTGTCCAGACAGCTGCTGAATCTTCAAGGATGGACACTCCACAACCTTCCTGGGCAACCAACCTCTGCCAGTGCTCAGTCACCCTCAAGGTACAGGAGGCATTTCAAAGTGTTCAGAAAAAAAACCCTGGGTTTCACTTTGTGCCCACAGCCTCTTGTCCTGTCACTATCCTTTCCAAGATCAAAGGAAGCACACACCTGCAGAGACCAAGGAATCCCAGAGGGAATGCCAGAGCAATACTTGGAACTGCTGCACAGACCAGATTTGGGAATTCTAAGTTCAGCTTCTTAAAATAAGAACAGGTGTGAGAACAACAAAATGCTCCACACCATAAAGAAGGGCCTTTTATGTCAACATGGAATTAACATCCACAAGTAAAAGAGTAAAATAAACTTCATTTTTATTGAAAAGACAGCACTGTTCTTTGTTTGGGAAACAGGAAGGAACCTAGCAGAAAGAAGATCAACCTTCCCTAAACTTAAAATATTTGTCTTTTATCATTCATCTTCTAATGTCACTCTGCCAGCGTGTACGGAAGAGATGTCTCCATAAATTTCCTTGTTGCTGTATCAGCTAAGCCATTAGACCACCAGGAAGAAGTACCTAGCCAGGGTAAGGCACCAGATGCGGTTCATTTCCCAGCCTTTATCAGATTTCCTGTGCACCAGTGAGCAAGTCACTTGATTTTACTATGTTCCACTTCTTTGCCTGTATGACTGTGTAAGGGAACAGCGCAAGAAGCTGCTACAGCAAGCAAAGTAAGAAAAGATATTTGTAACTTCAGAGGGTAAACTCTACAACCAGCACTGTAAGTCAATCAAGTATTGAGAAAATATAACTGCTAGTAAGAAGGACAAAATGCAAACAGCACCATCCCCACACAGAAAAAAAATAATTAAAAAAAAAATCCATTTTAAGGAGCAGTTTTTGGTGTTACCTTTCCATAAAAGTCACTCATTTGTTCTAAAGGGACATGGGAACCATCATACATTGCAATGACTTCTTCATCTGGGACAACACTGAGGCCTCTGGAAAACAACATTAGCTTTAGTTCAAAAGTCAAAACAAAATTTTCAGGTACTCATCAAATGAAAGTCTGACAGATTAATATTTAGATCTGGAGCTTAGTAAAATATTAATAATGTCATAGGAACACTTTAGCCTTTAAGTTAAACAGCATTGTTCCTTACAGAACAAGTAACATTTTAACAGGCTAATGCACACAGAGCACATTCCAATTTTAAGTCCTTATTACAGGAATAGAGCTAATTAGTCTCCACTGAAATTATGCCTCAAGGGTTTATAAAAGAAATAGTCGGAGGTTCCAGTTTCTTGACATAAAGTAATTCCTCACTCTGTCTTTCTTTCATACAACACTGATGATGTGATAGTGTTCAAACCAGATTATTCTGCAGCATGACCTTGAAGATTCAAGAGAAAGAAAAAAAACAACCTTTAACTAAATAAGAACTTCTTTTAAAATATATCAACAGTTCCATTTCCCAAAATTTAAGATTAAAGGACTGTTGTCAAGTCATTAAAATATAAAAATATAACAACAAATGGAGAGGAAAGTAACATCATCTCTCCTTAGAGTTTCTTTATCAGCTATTAAGACATTAAAGGCATGGTTTAGATTTGAATGTTTACAGCATTGTAAAGGATCTAAACAACCACAGGCATGCAAACATCCTCACCAGAGGACACAGAAGTGTTAAGGTTTTGCTCTAGACTGAAAAACACAAATGAAAACCAGATCACAGAATCACAGAATGTTTTGGGTTGGAAGGGATCTTCAAAGGTCTGTAATGAGCAGGGACATCTTCAACTAGATCAGGTTGCTCAGAGCCCTGTCCAGCCTGACCTTGAATGTTTCCAGGGATGGGGCACATACCAGCTCTCTAGGCAACCTGCACCAGTGTTTCACCACCCTCATTGTAAAAAATTTCTTCCTTCTATCTAAATTCTATCTAAATCTACCCCTTTTTAGTTTAAAACCATTACCCCTTGTCCTGTCAAAACAGACCCTGCTAAAAAGTCTGTCCCCATCTCTCTTTATAGAGGCCCCCTTTATGTATTGAAGGGCCACAGAAAGGTCTCACATAGCCTTCTCTTCTCCAGGCTGAACAAACCCAACACTCTCAGTATTTCTTCATAGGAGGGGTGCTCCCATAGGATAGGGCAACAGACATACATGAAATCCAGAGAGGAGAGATGACTGTGCAGGCAAAGCTGTAGATTAGTTTCACCAGAAGACTCAGTTTTGCCCTAGTTCACAGCTCAGCCGTGTAACAGCAGTTTATTTTATTCTGCTGACACCACCGACAGAGGGCACTGAAAGCAGCACAGTTCACCTACAGCAGTGCTCCCACCACTGCTCTCAGATGGGACATTGTTAGAAAGTAACCAGGACTGCTTACACCTCCCAGTGCAAATGAGGCTGTATGCTTGGGCAAGGCATGCTACCTTCAGCTCTGTGATTGACCTACACACATACAGAACCTATAGAAGGTCAACACTGAGAGCTACAGATACACACCAACTGACAGCAAAGCTCAGCGTTGGTAGAGAAGAGAAAGGTAATCTTATTTTATCAAAATCAAGAGGAAGTATTGAGTGAAATGGTGGCTTTCACTCTCACACTCACAAGTATCAAGATGTGCGACCTAACACTCTGCCCAGAATTACTTTGGGTGATGCAAAGAACAAGGGACACCATCTCTTCAACAAATTTCAACACCTCTCTAGTTTTGTTGACCAGTCATCATGTTCTGTTTATATATCTTCTGCCTCTTCACTCTGTCCCACTCCTAGTTGTAAGGCAACACTGCCAACGGATTCACCACCCATTTGTCAATACACAGCTCCAGTTATACCATTGTTCTTCCTCACATCATCTCTCAAAGCCTTCAGTCCCTTTTTTGCCCTCTCCCTCCCCATACAGGTGTTTGGAGAAACAGCATGCAGGTGTGATGGTATCCTAATGACCAACTGACCCAGGCACCACCAACACGTGACATCTTTTTGTCCCTTCTATCAACATTTCTTCTAGTGCTCTCACACATACAAGTTTCCATTCATATCAATCCTAACACTTCTACTGTATGCTTCTACAGATAAATGTAGCTTTGATTACTTCACCTAGCAAACCAACATTTTTCACAGAGAAAAACATAAAAGTGTGACAGCCTTTTTAAAATAATCTTCCCATTAGCAATCTTCACATGGAGTTTTCTGGTTCCCTCCTAGCCCTGCGTAAGAGATTCCTTTGAAAACCACAGGAATATGTTTTGTCAGTTGACACATACAATAATTATTCTACATTAGCATGTATAAAACACACAAGTAAATGGTATAAAGTTTCACTCCGATGTTATGTACAGAACACATTGGTTTTGCAGCTTTAGATAGCTACTGTGTTGACAGTATGAGCTTAATGCTGGACCATGCCACCTCATTTCCTCTTCCATTTTCCTTCCCTTCCTCTGCCCTCTCCCAAAGGGCATCTCAGACTAATTCATAAAAGAACAGATCAATGACTGCAGCTGAATCACCTACATATCTGCTGAACTGGCAGACAAAAAGTAGTAATGAGGACATCATCATGTACAGTTCCCCCACAGTAAATCACTTGAAGGCTGCATTATCTTTTGGCCCCAAAAGAAAACTTTTTGTTCGACAACATTAAGATAGGCGCTGAGGTTTCTTGTTTAATTAAAAAGTGGGTACCAAGTGTGGTGTTCCTGTCAGTCAAATGCGTACTGCTTCATTACAGCAAGCTGAGACATACTAACAACCCTCCTGTCAAAGATCTGTGTCATGTAACAAAGCACAGCACAGAGATTGCCAGCTTTACCTCAACTCCGTAAGCCCAGAAAGTGTCAGGCTGTGTGGACACAAAGCAATTGTGCTCCATTCTGCAAGTATGACTTTGTTGATGTATCCACACTTAAAAGCTCCAAGCAAACACAGCAAGACCTCTCAAGTGCCTCTACAACCACAAAGTCACTAACAGGCACTCTGTGATAATTATTTACATGGAAAGCAGGAGCAGAGAAGTCATCAGCATATTTTTAGATGTCTTTCAGCACAATTTAACAGCTGGAAACAAAGCAAGTCCGCACTATGTGACCAACCAGCTTGCCAACTTCCCCAGATCTGAACTGGGAATCAGCTGGGCTGTATCCATCAGTAAACGTGTGTGCGTGGTCTCTGTGTACACACAGTGGTGCAAAGAAACCCCCTACCAGTAAGACTGCAATGCTCATTCACCTCCATGCTTGTCAAGGCACTGCTCTTGATATGAATTTAAGACGTACAAGAATGAATGCAACTCAAAAAATAAGAGTATACATTATAATAAATAGGAAATAATTTTACCCACCTATAAACTGTTCCCAGCTGAATATAATGAAAAGCATCAATCTTCATTAATAATGCCTTGCAGGGGAAAAAAATATATCAGTTTTTAATCACATCAACTATTTGATATGAAGTTATAAAGATCAAAGCAATTTTATCTATAACCTTTCTGTCTCAAGAATGCCTGAGCACCTCTGCTTCAACTGCCTTCATAGCTCCTAAAATTTGTCAATGGCTTCTATCTAGGGCTTGCCATATCACCAAGGAAACATTGTCCAGTGACCTGAGCTAAGTCATAAAGACATATCTTTTCCTACTAGCAAATGCATGCTTAGGATTATTCTGTTGCACTCTAAACTGTCTTTCCCCAACCACTATGAGAACAAAACAGCCAAAACATTTTCTACTTGGGATCAATTTTAAAAATAATAAAATCAAGGTGGCTATGAAAGAGAAAAATATCAAACTAAATCCTTACACATCAATTCAGAATGAAAAGTTGGAAGTAATTTTCTTTGGCTAGGTTCTCAGCACTACACAATTCATTACAAAGTTATTTATACATACCCGGTGCACATCGTAATGAAGTCCTCTGATTGCAAAATTTGGATCGTAATCATATTTTCTTATTTCTGCAGGATACTAAGAAAAGAGAGCAATTACTTGGTTTTAAATTCATAACAAAAACAAGCAAAAAAAATTTGTTTCTGCAGAGCTTAAGCTTTCATCAGAGGGCTTCTCACTTTCAATAGTCACTAAGAAGCTTTTTGATAGGTTGGTTAGATCTGCAGGAACATATGTACGGTGCAAGACAAGTCAAACACTCTGTCAAAATCCAAAGCCATTGTTTTAAACCTAAGTCAAGCATGGTACCTAAAGGTGGACATCCAGGTTACTCTGTTCTGATCACCTTTGCACATTATCGTTTTGTTCATAAAGTCATTTTAATACATGCACCTTTGAAAACAAACTAAATTTTATTAGCTTCCTAAAGTTTCACAGCTGTGTTACCTTGCATTGTGAAGTCTCCCCATTAAACAGATTATAGGAATGCAGTTTCCAACTCAACTTTCTAGCTAGAAACTCAAGAACATGCCCTAATTTACAGCAATACCTAAACATTACTGCTCACTTCTATTGAAACAAGAAGTAATACATCAACATTAATATTAACAGGGGGGAAAAAAAAAAAAAACAAACACTTTGGCATTTTCAATAAATAAAAGCACAGATATCTGTTTGGACTGCCTTGCTGTGGATCACACTCTTGATCTTAGATTGTTGAGTTTGAAATGTAGGCCCCAGAGGTGTTTAAGTTGAACTGCAAACAAACACAGATGGAGAGGAAGGAAGAAGAGACTTCACAACAGCTCATGTTCCCTGCAGAAGCCAGGCTCCCCTAACAGGCACCTTCCCCAAGGTACAAGGCTGTGACAAAGATCAGATCCTGAAAGCAAGTGGGGCATTAAATGCCGTCATGGTGAGTCACTTCATATCACCACAATGACCCAACTTTACTGACCCTGGGCAGAATTTGTAACACGTTGTTGTTTAGAAACACGTGTGAATTCGATGTCTATGTCACCTACTCTTTCCTCAGGTTCTTCGTAGATACCACAGGTAACTCCCACCACCTATTAGAGAGTTTCTAACATCTTTCAGTACAAGCCCATTTTCAGTCAATCACAATTTTGTCCTGCTTTAAGCACAGGTTAGCCACAAAACAATTATATGTTACAAGTGTGCCTTGGGCTAAGGATTTTGTTCATTTGTTTTTAAAAGGTAAAATGCTACACAGTCATTTCTGACAAGGCCTGAGGAAACTATCATTTCTTTGATTAACCAACTGAAAGGCAATCCTTCATTTCCTTCCCACAGGCTACAGCAGTCACAGAACTTGACAAATGCATATGAGGCACATTCCCGACCTTTTCTACAACAGTCTCCGTATATATAAGGCTAGTTTACAAGACTTTGGGGAAAGAAAAAAAAAAAAAGATTAAAGCTTCGTGTTGAAGTGGTATATCTACCTTTATAAAAAATAAATAAATCACAATTTCCACAATTTCTCCACAAAGTTTTTACCTATGCTGAAGACAACTTGCTCTACAACTACTGAAGACTCTGACTGTACAGAAGCACAGACATCTACAGTTAAAGACAACAGTACTTTCACCTAAATTCTAAATTATCACATCCCTACCCCTTCCAGAAAACACGGGAGAGGTCACTGATCTGAATGAAGAACACCATTAAAGGCTTACAGACAGGCTGGGAAGATGGCTAGATTTGGCCAGGGAACACGAAGCAGAAGAGGCAAGGGAAAATAGCAGGGGAGGATATAGACTGTGATCAATTAAAAAAACCACAATATACTGCATGTGCCCCAAAGCATTCTGACTTCTTCAAAATTTCTGCATACTTGACTTTACTACTGTAATTTATTCTACTAGAAGGCTGTCTTTTGGATGCATGCCAGTACATATAAGAAAATGACTGAGCCTACCTTGGCGCACAACCCAAAGCTTCCTTACAAGCCAAACAAACAAAAGATAAAAACTGCACTGTTTACTTACCCCACTCTTGGTAGGGATACATATATCTGGACTGAAACAGCAGCCCAAATAAGGTGGCACAAGGCCCATACATTAGGAAAGAAAAACTTAAGAGTTTACATTCAACACCTGCTGCCACCTCCAAGATTAGCATTAAATTGACGTTTATTCTCTTGGACACACTTCAAAATTCCTTGCTTCCTGCATTGCATTTTACAATTTCTGATTAATTACCTTACATTGCCATGACCAAAATTGGCCATCTTTTAGGTTGACTGTGACAGTCATAATGGACAATAATATCTTGAAGTTTTTTCTAACGTTAAAGGCAAGAAAAACGTTAACAGTGTTAAACATTAAGCAACTACAGAGACAGCATATTAATGTCATCTGTCAATAAATTCCAACAGGAGATTATAAGATGTCTCAAAAAGTACTTGCACTTTTTACCAGAACTCAAGAGATTTTAATCGAGACAAACTGGAAAGTTATTACTACCTGAATTCATTCAAATAGTAAAGACAGAGCATCGTTTGAATTTCTGTCTACAAGAATTAATCTTGACTCTTACAGTAACTTTTTTTTTTCCCCTCAAGAACCACATAGCTTTAATAAAGTGTATTTGTACATCCTACAGAAATTGCTACCAAGATATGCCAAAATCTTAAGAGGATCAAATTGTGTATGCTTGCAGCACCCATGAAGTTTTGTTCGTTCTTCCAGGGTTATTTATAGATGTTTATACATAGCTCCTAACCTTTAGCTTCAAATACGAAAGTAGAATAACACTACCCAATTCAGATTTAGGTTGTATAAAGTAAACAAACAGTTTTATTAGTTAAGTTACTCTGTGGACTTTTTGTCTTTTATTTTCAAGTAAATCCTATAGTTCAGTAAGCTTCGCCTCTTGCAGTTCATCTTTTCTTCCAACTTTTCCCCTGCAGCACCGTCAGTTTCCCAAGTCGCCCATCTCTGGGCTGGTTCTTCACACACAGAAACTTCTCCCATCCTCAAACTCTGGAGCAACCAACTCCAAGCTGCTTCAATGGCAGCTGGTCACCAACGCAAACACGCTGCTTGGTGAGGCAACAGGGCAGTGCTCCCTTCTTAGAGAACTATTGAGCTGAACACTTATTTAGGTCCCCCTTGTATTCATCCTCCAATTACAGCGTCACTGCACATGCTGCCCCTTCAGCTCATGCAACTGCAATGCCAGGCACACACAGACCACCTCACCAGCACACAGTGCAACCAAAGGACACCTAAGAAGTCAGCTAAAAAAAAAAATAAAATTTCATATGGAAATTAATCACTGTACTCACAGCAATACATAAAACAGAGCAACAGTAACTTCTAACCATCTTATTTATTAGGGTGACTCCAATAACTGACAATCAGGAGAAAAAAAAAAATTACACACCACCACTACCAAATTAAGAAGTAAACCAAATAAAACTATTCCTTAACATACATCAGACTGTGCTCTGCTCAAAGTTGAAGCTGAAAATAATCCAGGACTTATGTGCTTCATATGTCACTGCTGTACAGAATGTGTTATAAGAAAGCCAAGGTAGGACTGAGGCATGAAAAGACGAGTTACGCTCCTCTCAGAAATTATTATACTCTTTATTCATAACCTTGTCATTCCATTAATTTTACTTACCCGATGTTCATTAATAAGAAGATCTCGAGCAGCATTGAAGATCAGTGTGTGTAAATGTTTAGAATAAAAGACCAATGTATAGTCATAATCGAACCCATAAATTTCAATATCTGACAGGCTCATTTCGTTGTTTGAGAAAATAGCATCTGGGTTCAGCATGTTACTCATAATTGAAGGAACCAACTCTGGAACAGGGGAGAGAGGAAGGAGGGGAAAAAAAAAGTTATATCAGCCCTGTAGTTTTAGTTAAACTCATAGAAATCCAATTAGCAATTTCTAAATACGGACAAATGAGGATGGAAACTATCAAACTAATTCACGCTAACCAGCTAATCTTTAACAATATGATGCTATTGAAAACACTGTCCCTAATTCGTCTTGGTGACCCACAATTTTTATTTGAGATACAGTTTCCTCTCTACAGTTCAAGCAGGAGAGAAGATGTATTTTAGCATCTTACTCATATATATTCAGTCTGGGGGTCTCTGATAATTTTTTGCTAATTCTGTTAAGGCATTAATTACTGCTTTAGATTTTTAACTTTGGAGTAGGACAGTGTTATTATTTTTTATTATTATTATTAATCATAGAAGCTTTGTCTTTTCCTCCCTTTATTTGCTGCAGCTTCTGCTCCAGAAGTGGAACTGACATTGTTTTAATTTGATGTTGCTTTAATTTCTTTGCTTCACCATTTCAAGGTTACCACATTACTTATTTGAGTTGAAACAGTAAACTTATGTGATTGCCATACTTCCCAAACAACAGTTACATACACACTGCTATACTTATTAGCCTTCCAGCAAACTATGAAACCAAAAATATTCTGCTTATTCTCTACATACATATACCTATGCATGTAAATCACTTCAATTTTTAAGGGTATGTTTCTCTTGATATTTGTTTGAAATGTTTATTGGGAAGTTAATACCACTTACACAGAGCTGCAGCATATTAAGCAACTGTAGGAACAACACCAAGTTCAGTATAAGGATGTTTGTCTTTCTTGTTTAGAAAACTTGAAAGAGCAACATTAGGAGACTGAGGCAAAGACCCTCCTGGAAACATAAAACATGAGCATGTTTTCCTTCCTTCCCTTCCCATATACTATCTTTATAACCCAGCCTTCCCTATTAATGGGTAAAAAAGTGGAGCTTTCATCTTAAAACTGTGCGTGGAAGGGTGAGTTTAAAGGGAACATGCTTTGTTTGGTTATTCTCAACATATAAGCCTAGCAGAAAATGGTCAAGCTTATCTCAACACCTTCAGCTCTGAGGACAGATACACTACACGCTCCATCATGGGAGGAAACCACCTCAATGGGGATTGTAGGTATAGGGACTCCAGATTTGTTAGAAAGACAGTGCTCAACGCCGAAAACTCTGGCCAGCCCATAGAAAGGGAAATAACATTTATTTTGTAAAAGCAACACCTTAAGACTGTGGCACAGTTGACGGGCAGATACAACAAGAAACTTACGGAAATGCCCAGTAACAGCTGGTAATCTGAAATCATCTAACTTTATCAGATGTAGATACCCAAGTCTTTAATTTTTGAGAGAGAGAAAGAACAGTAATTTCACCAAGTTTAATTCCAAGTTTCAAATAAAGCCTGACGTCTCTTTCAACAAAAAAAAAAAAAAAAAAAAAAGATTCCAGGAGTTCCACACGCTTAAATTGACATGAAAAGCTGTACCTTTCATTTCAGGGGATTAACAAAATAAGCCTCAATCAAAACATTAGCTCCTACTATCTCCAGTCACTGCTTATAGTAATACAGAAAATAAATGTTATGCTGAGTTGAGGAAACAAAGTAATCAAATGGAATTTGACATGCTATTATTAAGGCAAACACTCTTGCTCTTTAAAAAGGGGCACATCATTTAATCAGTTGAAGTCACAATCCTAGTTTTGAGTGAACTTCCAAATCCGCATTACAAGACCTGTATTATAATACAGTATTTCTGTATTATAGTTGAAGTATTTTTTTCAAATGTCAGTTGTGCAGCCTGGTGAGTCAACATTATATAGAGATATATATTTTGAAATCAAGATATATGAATAAAGATATTTCCAATTTAAAAAAAAAAAAAAGTCTGTCTAGTGCCTCTCTGAAAAGAGACAGCATAAACATTTTGTAGCTATCGGACATTCTGGCTGGCAGACAGCATCCCAAGTGCCATAAACCTTGGGTCAAAAATCAGGAGAGCTTTGTCATCTTAACATTGTTACTACGTGAAATGTCACATACTTGAAGCCATCGGGTGACTTAGGCTATAACAAAATATGCCAAGTTACTCTACAAGCATTCACCTTGTCTTTCGTCAACCCACACCCACTGACTGATTTATTTTCTTTTAACATTGTCCTACTCTCTAACTTTAGCTCCTAAGTATTACTTAGGTGTGGCTTAGGAGAAAAAGTTAATTCCAAAAACAGTTAAAGATATGCAAAACAAAAGGCATTGACTGTCTTCTTGCTTTCCCTTATCCCACCCTCCAAAATCCATAGCATTCTTCCAAGATCTCTAACACGGCTTCTTATTTCACTTGTGAAATGCTGTCACTATTTTACGTTTGCAAACGCTACGTTTGCATCCAGCACAGTAAAGCCTGTTAATGCTCAAGACTCTTAAGTGCAGGATAAAACAGAAATTTACCTTTTTCTTATTCCTCTTGCTTTTTACAAGCAAAACACGCCAGACTAAAGTATTACCCATTGTGACTACGGGACAAGCTCTCCTGCTTGATGTTGCAGAAAACATGCTCTCTTTCTCTTTTGGCTCTCTGAAAAGATCGTGTGTTCAAGCACCTTGGCAATACTCTTCCCATCAGAGCAAGAGGAGAAGCAAGCGAGCTTCAAGTATTTGGCCCTTAACTGTTTGCCTAGCTGGGCTGAAGAACAGGGCTTCCCAGAGTCGCGCACGTATCATCAGCACTTTACCCGGGCTTGAAAGCTTCACAGCGTTTTAGTGGAACCCTAGCCAAAACGAAAAAAGTAATCCAAAACTTCACAGCATTTCAACTTCGTGGAAGAGCAGCCTATTGCAGGACGACCTCCAAGAGACGACCAAATTCATTACTTTCTTCGTACATTTGCTTCTCTCCACACACCACCTCCCCA